AGTAAGCTAAGCAGGCGGCTGCCTTCTTCTGCAGCCAGTGGTATAAGGTTCGTTATATAACACTGCTGCTTTTCCTGGTAAATAATGGAGGCATTTATAGGTTGAAAGAGGGTCCCTTTTTTCTGGGAACCGTTCCCAACGCGGCTGAGCCAGCTTGTTGGATTGCACAAAGCCAGTCTTTCATTTCCTCTTTGGATCTGACATTTTATTAAGAGAGCAAAAATCGTGCGCCTAGAGGCGAATCAGTCCCTTCTGCCCGTGCAATGATCTGAACACCGAAGATAGAGGCTGAGCAAAATGTGCAGATGATACAAAACTACTCAAGAAAGTTTAAGTCACAGGCAGACTGTGAAGAGCTACAAAAGGATCTCTCAAAACTGGGTGACTGGGTAACAAAATGGCAGATGACATTCAGTGTTGATAAATGCAAAGTAATGCACATTGGAAAGCATAATCCCAACTAGACATATAAAATGATGGGGTCTAAATTGGCTGTTACCACTCAAGAAAGAGATCTTGGAGTCATTGTGGACAGTTCTCTGAAAACATCCACTCCATATGCAGTGGCTGTCCAAAAAGCGAACGGAATGCTGGGAATCATGAGGAAAGGGACAGATAACAAGACCGAGAATATCGTATTGCCACTATATAAATCTGTGGTGTGTGCAGATGTGGTCGCCTCATCTCAAAAAAGATGTATTGGAGTTGGAAAAGGTTCAGAAAAGGGCCACGCAAATGAGGAGGGGGATGGAACAGCTTCCATCTGAGGAGAGATTAATAACACTGGGACTTTTCAGCTTGGAAAAGGGGGATATGATAGAGGCCTATAAAATCAGGACTGGTGTGGAGAAAGTAAATAAGGAAGTGTTAATTACTCCTTCTCATAACACAAGAACTAGGGATCACCAAATGAAATTAATAGGCAGCAGGTTTAAAACAAACAAAATGAACTTTATCTAACTCTTTTTGGAACCCTGTTATACTTTTTCCACACAACACACAGTTAACCTGTGGAACTCCTTGCCAGAGGATGTTGTGAAGGCCAAGACCAGGGGTCTCAAACACACGGCCTGCCAGCTCCCCACGGCCCCCCCCAGCATTTACCTAGAGTGGCTCCAGCCAGGCATGCACCGGGGGCATGGCAGGCTGCCTGCCCTGCCCCTGTGCTGCTCCGGGAAGCGGCCGGAACCTGGAGGGGTCCCAGGGGTCTGTGTGTTGCCCTGGCTGCTCCTCCAGGTACCTCCCCTGAAGCTCCCATTGGCCGCAGTTCCTCATTCCTGGCCAATGGGAGCTGCGGGGGCCGGTGCCTGGAGGCACGGCCAGGGCAACACACAGACCCCTGGGCCCTCTTCCCCCCGCCCCCCCAGGTTCCAGCCGCTTCCCAGAGCAGTGCGGGGACACAGCAGGCACGGAGCCTGCCCTGCCCCTGGTGCGTGCCGGGCCAGAGCCTGCCCCCTGAACCCCTCCTGCAGCCGAACCCCCTCCTGTACTCCGCACCCCTGCCATACCCTGCGCCCGAGCCTCCTGCTGCACCCCAACCCCTCCTGGGAATGGGAGCAGGGAAGGTGTGGGAAGAGGCAGGGCAGGGACGGGGTCTCATGGAAGGGATGGAGCGGGGGCGGGGCTGGGGAAGTGGGGGGTGGGTGGGTGCCAGTGATGCGGCCCTCGGGCCAATTTATTAATCCTCATGTGGCCCTCGTGGTCCTCTGAGTTTGAGATCCCTGGCCAAGACTATAACAGTGTTCAAAAAAGAACTAGATAAGTTCATGGAGGATAGGTCCATCCATGGCTACTAGCCAGGATGGGCAGGGATGGTGGCCCTACCCTCTGTTCGCCAGAAGCTGGGTGACGGGATGGATCATTGGGATGGATTACCTGTTCTGTTCATTCCCTCTGGGGCACCTGGCATTGGCCACTGTCGGAAGACCAGATACTGGGCTAGATGGACCTTTGGTCTGACCCAATACGGCCGTTCTTATGTTCTGTGTCGTTTATGCCACCAATAAGACGGACAATTTGGACACTGTTCTCCCAGCAGCCTCGCAGGATAGGCAAGCAGAGAAAAGAAAAAGAATAAAGTCTAGCTGCACCTGACTGGTGGGGGGAGAGAGGAGGACTTGAAGTGCTCACTTTAACTTCGAGTTGCCATGGTGATGGGCACTGTATTAGAAGCTAGATAGACCTAGCACACTTCAGAGGTAAGTCGTATTCTCCCCGTTTTGCAGATGAAGACATAAGAACGGCCATACTGGGTCAGACCAATGGTCCACCTAGCCCAGTATCCGGTCTTCCGACTGGCCAATGCCAGGTGCTTCAGAGGGAATGAATAGAACAGGGCAATTTTAAGTGATCTGTCCTCTGTCATCCAGTCCCAGCTTCTGGCATTTGGAGGTTTAAAGACACCCAGAGCATGGGGTTGCATCCCTGACCATTTTGGCTAATAGTCATTGATGGACCTATCCTCCATGAACGTATCTGGTTCTTTTTTGAACCCCGTTATACTTTTGGCCTTCACGACATTTCTGGCAATGAGTTCCATGGGTTAACTGTGCGTTGTGTGAAGAAATACTTCCTTATGATTGTGTTAAACTTGTTACTTATTAATTTCTTTGGGTGACCCCTGGCTGTTGTGTTATGTGAAGGCGTAAACACACTTCCCTATTCACTTGCTCCACACCAGCCACGATAAAACCGTAATGAAAGCAAGGGAATCTGAAATAGAAGTGATGCATAAATGTCTCTTTCTGGCAGAGGGAGTGGGTCTCTGCAGTCTTCATTGCTTTGCTAGTGGACAGATGGTAGCTTGAAGCATAGAGCTGATGTGCTGGCTAGAGGCTGGACGTCAGCTCCTGGAATGAAGCATTGCTAGGAGCCTTCTTCCATGAGCAGTCGCTCCTCTCTGGCTGATTTGCTGTGTTGCGCTAGTAATTAGGACGGTTTTGGAGATAGCTTTAAGTGGTTGACTGTAGCGTATCCCTTCCTGCCTCACAATGCCATCCAAACGCGGCTGCTGCTAACAGAACTCTTGTGGCGACGTAAAACTTGCACGTGCTGGCGGATCATGATCTGCCCAGTTGTATAGGTGCAGCATAGTATGAGCCCAGGAATTATCTGTCGGGCTACAGTAGCCAAAACCTCACCAGGGAATTGGTTGTGCCTGCATTTGGAGAATGGAAAAATAAAGCATGTGGGATTGTTAGCAAAAAAGAAAATGTCAAGGACTCTGCCTTTCCCTGGGGAAGAAATAAATGCAATGTGTATTCAAAGTATCACAGCACTGGTAATTTTCTAAGATGTTTGTCTGAGATTAGTCAGGAAAGCAATGACCACCTTCTCTTCATCGTAGCTACTTGCTAGGTGCTCATGTTAGATACCAGTGCTTGCAATTTTATCCTGAGTCTTGTGGTATTTGATGTTTTTCTGAAAGCTTCAGGTCCTGGAAAGAAACTGCAGAGACTGTCGGCTAAGTCTCTAGCCTTCGTGGTTGCAGAGAAAAGCTTGAAAATGTGACTCTCAAAGGCCAGATCTGTAGATCTGCTGACTTTACTGACACAACAAGTTTTAACTCTGGCTAGCCCCGCTGAGGCAGTGCGGCTATGAGTTGGATTCTGTCAGCAGCAGCAGTCTTGTCAACTAAGTTCTGCGGGCAGAATCTACACTACTTCCTGGTGGAGATGTTAAAAGCGGGAAGAATCCAGTTGGATTTTCAGAGTCCCATGTTATTGTAAACCTTCACTTTTCAGGCCTAGATTTCCAGGTCCGCTAGAGTAGCACTCAGTGCCCTTCTGAGGGCATTAGATGGCTTTATGCAATCTTTTTAATGCCATCCTTTTCAGATCCTGGAGATACTGAGGTTGAACTAGCCTATAATGCAAATTAGAGCAGCCTTGGGGTTGCTCTAACTTGTCAGTAGAAAAAGGTTCTCAAGGTGCTGCTCCCTCAGCCAGGATCACCAGAGCACATTGCGTTCCCATCTGTCACATCCCCCTTCCGATCTCCTGCCTATCCCTCCACGGTGGGGGCTGGCATAGGGCTGGCTATTCAGCTCAGGATTCTCCTACATTAGAGGTATCCTCAGCGTCTGCCTTAATGCAGCTTTAAGTCCTCTTTGTATCACTGGAGCCCATAAAAGCTATAAGAATTGTAAAAGCGTTTTTGATTATTTGCAGTGGTGGTGTTGTCCGTGTTGGGTCTAGGATATTAGAGAGACGAGGTGGGGGAGGCAATATCTTTTATTGGACCAAATTCTGTTGGTGAAAGAGACAAGCTTTTGCACCGCACAGAGCTTTTCTTCAGGTCTGGAAAAGGTACTTGAGTGTCCCAGCCGCTGGAACAGACAGGTTAGCATAAGTAGTTAACACAGTTTTGTAAGAAACCATTCAAGGTGAAGTGACCTGTTAACACCCCTGCAGTCCTAGGACAAAAAAGGGGGGTTAGCGGGTGACTGTTTTAATAAGCCACAAACCAGTGTCTTTATTAAGATTGTGATTTTTTTTAGTGTCTTGTGACGTTATGAATTTAAGCTCCCAGGCCGGTCTTTTGAAGGTGGTGTTGTGCAGGTTTCCATTGAGGACGAGGACAGATATAGAGCGATCGCTTTGTGAAACGTGCTCACCCACAGGTGACAGGGTGTCTGTCTTCTATCATTTTCCTGTGCAAGTTCATTCGAGAGCGTAGTGGTTATCTGGCTTCACCCACAAAGTTGTTACGGGGTGTTTATTGCACTGGATGAGGTACCCCGCATGTTGCGATAGGTATGAATAGGACCCAAGAATCTTGACAGGTGTGTTGTGGGGGATGTTGATCATTGTAGCGGTGGAGATATGGTTGCCGGTTTGGCATCTTTTCTGGCAGGGTCTGGTGCTGCTTTGAGTTGGTGTGACCTGCTCTGTGAGGAGCTTGCTTCTGATGGTGAGGTTTATTAATCAGTTTTCTCCCTCCCGCCTTTGCTTTCCTTTCTCTGGGCTGACTTATTCTCTCATTCATTTCCCCTTTTCCAGTTTGTGAAGTTTGCGAACATTGAAGAGGACACTCCGTCCTACCACAGGAGCTATGACTTCTTTGTGTCGCGCTTCAGTGAGATGTGCCACTCTAGTCACGATGAGCTGGAGATCAGAACCAAGTGAGTATGGGATGAAATACGTCAGCCCCAACTTCTGTCTAGCAAATGAATAACTGAACACGTGAACGAAACTTTTGGGGCTTCTCTACTTGGGCGTGGTCAGGAAAGTTAAACTGAATTAACTACAGGTTAAAATTTAAAGGAGATGAGTTAAAACTCATTAACCAGAGTGGATGCTCTTATCCAGAATTCAAGAGGCCTTAATTTGGTTCATCTTAATTCATCTGGAAGCGAATTAAATTAAACTGAATTAAGGCCACTTTAATTGTGAACGAGAATGTCCACACAGGTTTAATGCAGTTTAACGAATTCATTTTGAAAATTAATTTGGATTAATTTGCCTGAGTGTCCCCATGTAGACAAGCCGTTTTATGATGCTTTTCATCTTGGGATCACTGTGCAATGGAGCCTGTGAACAACCTCTGGGAGCTGAAGCCACCTGTGAAATGGAATCCAGTTGCTCTCCATGCCATCCCACAGCTAGTGCTGGTTGGGAATTTTTCGACCAAACGTTTTTTATTTGGAAAATGCCGATGTGTTGGAAGCAAAACTGTTTGAAGAAACATACTGGATTTGCCAGAACTTTAAGCGAGAGAGGTCTCTTGGGTGCAGGATGGAACTGAAAGAGGCAGACGCCCTGCGGGTAACTCAGTGGTTAGAGCACAGGACTTGAATCCAGCTCTCCTTCATCCCAGGTGAATGGGTCTCTGCCTGTTTTTTTTCTGTTTTGTTCTGATGTGGAAGGGAAAAGTTTCTGAACTCTTGAAAATATTCACAGGAGAGGAAAACAGTTTCCCACCTGGATCTATTCCCAGCTACCTAGTAGGGAAAGCTGGTTCTTTTGCCAATGGCTGTTGGGCATAGAGGGTACAAACTCACCCTCTAGGACAACCTTCCAGAGACCACTAGAACTCACTAGAGAGAGGCCATCAAATTGGTAGAGACCCAGTGACTCAGATCAGGGTTGAGACATATGGGTGGGAAGTGTGCATCTAGTGTATGGTTCAACATAGGACTTCAGTCTCCAGTGCTGTCGATCTGGCTCCTTAGAGCAGCATTAAAATCCACTAATGTGACCGCGTGCTTGATTATAATATTGAAATACGGAAAACCGAATCTCTCTAGACACGAGTGTTAATGAGCGACTTGCTTTCCTGTGCTGGGAAGATGCTCCTCGGGAGGATTAATTATGATGAACACAGACAGATTAATGTTGTTTATGGTGATCTTGTCTGCAGTGCATTTAAAAACAACTAGCTCTTAAAATTACCTCCTCTCCGTCCCTTGCAAAGCATTCCATAACTGACTGTGATGCTCTGGGGGATCTCCCAGGCCAAGAAGGGGTTCAGTCAACACCTGTTTGCAGGGGAACTCAATAAGCCTTCCAGCCCTGAGTTCTCCTCCTGGAACATATTTCTGCAACTCCCAGCCCCTCATTGTAATGCTCACACAACCATTACCAAGGTCGCTGCTCCTTTAGAGAGACAATATACAGCAGCCTGTTATCTTAACGGGGGTTAACACATCCTTTCCTTCAGTCACGGCACTGAGCTGGTTTATAGCAAACGTAAACCAAGTTTGTGAACAAGAGAACCTCGGTGTAAGTGATCCCATAAGGACAGAAATGGTTACAAACACACACAAGTGAAAATACTCTACTAAGCCTGAAATTCAACAAACGAGAGTCTCTTGTTCAGAGAGGTTGTCTCGCCACAGTCATTATTCCAGCGTGGCTGGCTAGTCCTTAGCCAGGATCCCAACACAGAGTTCAAATCGCTTAGTTTCTTTGGCCTGGTCTACACTAAAAATTTAGGTCGACCTGGCCACATCGCTCAGGGGTGTGAAGAATCCACGCCCGGTGCAATGTAAAGGAAGCTGACGTAAGCCTGGGTGTAGACCGCGCTAGGTGGATGGAAGAATTCTCCTGTCGACCTAGCTACTGCCTCTCGGGGAGGTGGGTGACCTACACTGACAGGAGAACCCCTAGAGCAGTGTCTACACTGTAGCGTTTCAAGTGTAGACAAGCCCTTTGTCTCCTCAGGGGAAGGGCCACTTAAGGGTTTTCTTCCCCTCTCTTTATAGACCACTAAACCTTTGAAATGTGTTCTTCTGAAGTGACTCCCCACATAAAGTTCCTTTCCATGCCGGGTGTAGACGCCATCCTGGCTTCTACCCTGCATGTGATTTTTGCAATGCAAATGATCTTCCTGCAAAGTCCAGTACGAAGCCCCCTGTGCTTGGCCACACCTGGCTTCAGGTGTCCGCCCCTTTCCTTCATCTGAAAAAGCCCATTTATCCACTTCCCCTGGCATGCCTGCGTTAAATATGTTTTAATTGCTTTCCAGCACATCTGTATAAGTCTTTGTAGGGTAACTGTACCCGCATCACGCAAGAACATGAATTAGCAGTGAGTTAGTAGTTTTCCAAAGATATATTACATGCCATCTTTTGGCGCAATACCACGGCAGCAGTGTGTGAAGCACGCTGAGCCAGCCAGCCAGCTGAGATTCTCTGCTACGTGCCAAGGGGCTCCAGGCCCTCTGGCACTGGGATTTTCTAAGTGTCACCCTGACTGGGTGCCATTTCAGTAACGCCCTGCTGTTCTCTTAACCATATTTTGCCCATGGTTAGGCTGCAGTCTGAGTTTGAGTTTGAATTGCTTCCGCTCCTCTCATAGCAAGGTTAGGCGTTATAGGAAGCCTTTCAAAGGCCGAGGAATAACAAGCAGAGAGAGGCCAGGGACAGCACAGAGTAATAACCCAGTGCTTCAGAGCTGAGCCAGGAAGAGTGTCTAGCGCCTAAAGGAGAGGTGATCGTTTGGTCTCTGATCTTGGAGTCTGGAACCTTAGAGCAGCCAATGCTCAGACTATGCACAAACCCAGAGCGAAGGGCATGAAGTTTTGCTGTCCTGGACTATTTTAATGCTGCTGGACAAACTATTAGTAGCTTTATGGTAGCCCTAGGTGCTCTAGCCAGAATCTGGACCTACATTGTCATGGGCGCTGTGCAGTCATATGGTAAGAGACAATCCCTGCCCTAGATTGTAGAGCTAACAATCTAAACGGACTAATGGTGGGAACAGACACACAGAGAGGGGACATGACCCAGGGTGGGTCGTTGGCAGAGCTGGGAATAGAACCTATGGTCCAGAGCTCCCTCCGTTGGACCACCCCACCTTTCAGATAGTCTAGTGCTCAAATAGTGCAATGATGGGTACCTGTGTGAGAATCTGGCTGGAGAAAGCTTAAGGTCGCAGTCACTTGTAACTTTCAGGTTTTGCTTCTTGGGGCCTGCTGCTTGAAGGAGACTTTTTTTTCTTTTGGAAAGTGGGAATAAAACCACACCAGCCATTTCTGAGAACAGGGAGAGCGATGGGGAAAATATTTTCCCAGAGGGGAAAAGTAACATTGGCAGCTTTGTGTTTTGAAAGTTGTCTGGCTGAAACGGCTGAGACTAGAAAGCTGAAATTTGACAAGGAACGAGCCTTAACTGAGAAGAGATGCCTTGAAGTGTTATAGTGAAAATTGGATGAGATTTGGCTGAGTTCTAAGGCTTTGAAAATTGCATTTTCACACATGAAGAGTCAACCTTTACTATTTGAACAATCAGAAGGAAGAATAATCCACTACTCGGCTCCCATATCACGCTTTTCATCTGGTGTCAAAACTCAATAAGGACTGGTGGCTCCAGGTGAGATTCACCTGCTTCTCTAGCAGAGCTGGGTCCAAGCGACGAGTGATACGTGGAGTCAGATTCAGACTCCAACTGCCCCTGTGCCGAGAGTGGTTGAATTCAGCTCACTGGCAATGGGGAGGAGCCATCACTAAGGCTAGCATTTAGTCGGGGGGATTTTTAATAAAAGTCATGGACAGGTCACAGGCAATAATTTAAAAAAAAAAATTCATGGCCCGTGACCTGTCCATGACTTTTACTAAAAATACCCACCCTGACTAAATCTGGGGGGCGGGGGGGGGGGTTGCTGTGGGGGAGAGGGGTGCTCCGGGGGGGGCAGATGGGGGGCTGCTGGGGAGGGCAGGGCCAAGTGGGTTTCGGTTGCCACTGGGATTGCAGATGCCCCGACATCCAGGCACATTTGGATCTAGAGTCTAGGCCCATCTCTGTTTGCAGCGGGCTAAGTCCTGAGGTTCCCACTCCGTTTTTACTGATCGAAAGCCTTCACAGACTGCTGCCCCGCTTTACTTCTAGTGACCCAATGGGAAGTCTGTTTGTTTGCCCCCAGGATTAGGGCCTAAGTTTCTTGGGCACGACTCTTCTGTGTGGGGGCTCAGGGACGTGCTGGTCCACACACAGCTGCAGTATGGTCGCCGGAAGGGCTTGCCGGTGACTTACCAGGGGAACATTAAAGTTCATAGTCTGGGGGCTTTTACTCCACTTCCAAACAGTTCATTGAGAAACAAACGCCTAGAAAATGAGGAGAAAATAGCGACTGACCTGTGACCCTTACTCACAGGGTCACGATTTCCAATTGCATGGGGCCTCTTTTTCCCCCAGACCTGGTTTCAGCCAACCCCTCCGTCCGTGACCATCTGACCTGCCCTGGGATACTAGGAAACGGCCTCTGTATTTTAAACAGTTCTGTCCATGTACTTCACGCACCAATTCCCTTGACGCCTCCTGTAGCTCTAATGCCAGTGGACGTTTCTGTTCTCCTGAAGCACAGCTGCTTATCCACTTTTTAACACCGCCCCAAATTCTTCTAGTCCCAGCCCTCCCACACCTGTTTCACCTGGTAAAAGTCAGCAAGCTGCCTCGGAGCTCGGTCTGTGATTCAGCACCAGGTCCTCAGCTGCGGTAAATCAATGGCTCTCACTGATTTATTCCAGCAGAGGGTCTGATCCTTAGTGTTTATTGATAAATGAGGTTGCAGGGCCAAGTTCAGACCTGGGACAGTTCCCCTGAAGTTATAATGTATGTCGTCTCTCCAAAAGGAACGGAACACTGCAGGGTTTTTCTCCCCCCGGGATTGCTGGGAAGTCAAGCCATGTCTTTAAACAATGCAGTCATTTTCCAGGGAACAGATGCCGCGTGGGGTGAACCATCCCTTAAGGAGGGTACGTTTTTCTGAGATATGTCCCTTTAACCACCTTGGGCCTCATATTTTCAGTGGTGCTGCAGTGAGCGAGGCTGGGAGTGAGGATGCCCAGGCATTGATGGCATGTCAGACACAGCTTCTCCAGCCTGGTCTGTTGGCTTTCTTCAGGTTCCCTTGGGGCCTGTGGGGAGGTTAGTGTGTTTGCTTTAGGTCAGGGCTGCTGTATTTGGGGAAAGAGGCAAGCCGTAGGAGCCACAGAGGAATGAGAGGCATTTACACCAGATCCTCAGCTGGTGTAAATTGACGTAGCTGCATTTACGTCAGTGAAGCGAAGCTGATTCCCGCCAGCGGGGATCTGGCTCAGAGGCCCTTGGGATCCCATCCAGGGAGCGCTGCACCTGTTTAATGATCACCCCACTATGGAATGCAGGATCGGGACCTTCGTAAACCATCCAAGGCAGGGATCTTGTCGGCCGGTTTGTCTTGAAGGCACCTCTTGCAGCCCAATTTAAATAATAAGCATCCCAGAGAAGCATCCATTCGGACCTGGAGGGGGATTGTCAAAGGCAGAAAGGTGCCCAACTCCCATGGAGCCCATTCCAATCTGGAGTATAGTTTAGTGGCTGAGCAGAGTCTCTTTGGGCCGATTTGTTCACTGCACCTTATTTTCCCCTTACTCTGATCAGGGAACATTTTATTTTCCCCTAGCAAGACAATGGTGCAGAAAACTCATTGTTTCCCCCTGACCCATAGAGCACAAATGATCCTGGTTCAATTATGTGCTGGATTGCAAGAGACCTATTCTGCAGTTCCTGGTTCCTGCAGTTGCTGGGAGAGCAATACAGCGGTGCATAGACAATCCAGGAAGTTTTTGGAAAGCGTAGGGGACAATTTCCTGGTGCAAGTGCTAGAGGAACTAACTAGGGGGGGAGCTTTTCTTGACCTGCTGCTCACAAACCGGGAAGAATTAGTGGGGGAAGCAAAAGTGGATGGGAATCTGGGAGGCAGTGACCATGAGTTGGTTGAGTTCAGGATCCTGACACAGGGAAGAAAGGTAAGCAGCGGGATACGGACCCTGGACTTCAGGAAAGCAGACTTCGACTCCCTCAGGGAACGGATGGGTAGGATCCCCTGGGGGACTAACATGAAGGGGAAAGGAGTCCAGGAGAGCTGGCTGTATTTCAAGGAATCCCAGTTGAGGTTACAGGGACAAACCATCCTGATGAGTCGAAAGAATAGTAAATATGGCAGGCGACCAGCTTGGCTTAACGGTGAAATCCTAGCGGATCTTAAGCATAAAAAAGAAGCTTACAAGAAGTGGAAGGTTGGACATATGACCAGGGAAGAGTATAAAAATATTGCTCGGGCATGTAGGAATGAAATCAGGAAGGCCAAATCGCACCTGGAGCTGCAGCTAGCAAGAGATGTCAAGAGTAACAAGAAGGGTTTCTTCAGGTATGTTGGCAACAAGAAGAAAGCCAAGGAAAGTGTGGGCCCCTTACTAAATGAGGGAGGCAACCTAGTGACAAAGGATGTGGAAAAAGCTAATGTACTCAATGCTTTTTTTGCCTCTGTCTTCACTAACAAGGTCAGCTCCCAGACTGCTGTGCTGGGCATCACAACATGGGGAGTAGATGGCCAGCCCTCTGTGGAGAAAGAGGTGGTTAGGGACTATTTAGAAAAGCTGGACGTGCACAAGTCCATGGGGCCGGACGAGTTGCATCCGAGAGTGCTAAAGGAATTGGCGGCTGTGATTGCAGAGCCATTGGCCATTATCTTTGAAAACTTGTGGCGAACGGGGGAAGTCCCAGATGACTGGAAAAAGGCTAATGTAGTGCCAATCTTTAAAAAAGGGAAGAAGGAGTATCCGGGGAACTACAGGCCAGTCAGCCTCACCTCAGTCCCCGGAAAAATCATGGAGCAGGTCCTCAAAGAAATCAATTCTGAAGCACTTGCATGAGAGGAAAGTGATCAGGAACAGTCGGCATGGATTCACCAAGGGAAGGTCATGCCTGACTAATCTAATCGCCTTCTATGATGAGATTACTGGTTCTGTGGATGAAGGGAAAGCAGTGGATGTATTGTTTCTTGACTTTAGCAAAGCTTTTGACACGGTCTCCCACAGTATTCTTGTCAGCAAGTTAAAGAAGTATGGGCTGGATGAATGCACTATAAGGTGGGTAGAAAGTTGGCTAGATTGTCGGGCTCAACGGGTAGTGATCAATGGCTCCATGTCTAGTTGGCAGCCGGTATCAAGTGGAGTGCCCCACGGGGCGGTCCTGGGGCTGGTTTTGTTCAATATCTTCATAAATGATCTGGAGGATGGTGTGGATTGCACTCTCAGCAAATTTGCGGATGATACTAAACTAGGAGAAGTGGTAGATATGCTGGAGGGCAGGGATAGGATACAGAGGGACCTAGACAAATTGGAGGATTGGGCCAAAAGAGATCTGATGAGGTTCAGTAAGGATAAGTGTAGGGTCCTGCACTTAGGACAGAAGAACCCAATGCACAGCTACAGACTAGGGACCGAATGGCTAGGCAGCAGTTCTGCGGAAAAGGATCTAGGGGTGACAGTGGACGAGAAGCTGGATATGAGTCAGCAGTGTGCCCTTGTTGCCAAGAAGGCCAATGGCATTTTGGGATGTATAAGTAGGGGCATAGCGAGCAGATCAAGGGACGTGATCGTCCCCCTCTATTCGACATTGGTGAGGCTTCATCTGGAGTACTGTGTCCAGTTTTGGGCCCCACACTACAAGAAGGATGTGGATAAATTGGAGAGAGTCCAGCGAAGGGCAACAAAAATGATTAGGGGTCTGGAACACATGACTTATGAGGAGAGGCTGAGGGAACTGGGATTGTTTAGTCTGCAGAAGAGAAGAATGAGGGGGGATTTGATAGCTGCTTTCAACTACCTGAAAGGGGGTTCCAGAGAGGATGGTTCTAGACTATTCTCAGTGGTAGAAGAGGACAGGACAAGGAGTAATGGTCTCAAGTTGCAGTGGGGGAGGTTTAGGCTGGATATTAGGAAAAACTTTTTCACTAGGGGGGTGGTGAAACACTGGAATGCGTTACCTAGGGAGGTGGTAGAATCTCCTTCCTTAGAAGTTTTTAAGGTCAGGCTTGACAAAGCCCTCTGGCTGGGATGATTTAATTGGGGATTGGTCCTGCTTTTGAGCAGGGGGTTGGACTAGATGACCTCCTGAGGTCCCTTCTGTCACGGAGTCCCTGGGCGATGCTCTGGAACTGCTCCCCGTGAAGCCAGTCAGGACTCTGGGGAAGTCTCCTCTCTGGGAGCAGACTGTCTTCAGGACACAAAGCTCACACAGCTTCCACCTTCCTGGGTCTGACCTCGGAGCATTCAGCATCCTCTACCCCTCCGTGCGCTTCCCACAGCGAGTCCGCTCAGGCGGGGCTCCTGGGGAAGCCAGAGTGTCCTGCACCCCAACTTCGCAGTCAGATGTGACTCTCAGCCAGCCAGTAAAACAGAGGTTTATTAAATGACAGTGGATCTGCCACTTCATGGCTGCCCTTTATCTTTGTATTGGGCTAAACCAAATCCCCCGATCCAACACCCCCTCCCCACCACATGCTGGGGAAATTTAGATCTTGGTCCAATTGTAAATGTCGCATCCTTGGCCCATCGCTGTTTCTAAGCAGATTGACCTCTCTGTTAAGTGAGAAATAAAGTCAGGAATTCACCCCCTGGCCCTGGCTTGCACTACTGGTGCTTTGTCCCTCTCTAGCGCCTTTCACCTGAGGCTCTCAGAACATGTTACAAACTTAAAATTAGTCCTGACAGCAGCCCCTGGGAAAGACAGAAGTAACATTATCTCTAGTTTAGAGATGGGGAAACTGAGGTACGGAGAAGTAAATTTACTTGCCATAGATCACTCTGTCACACAGCTGGAAGGAGAAGCCAGAGCCTGGACCCCGCCATACACTGTTCTAATTAGAGCAGGTCGGAAAAATGCTAACACAACGTTCTTTTCACTGGAATTTGCCAATTTGTCAAACTTTAAATGTTCCGTGGAGACAGTTCGATTTGACAAAGTTCTGTGGGAACCCTGCTCGGTTTCCTGCCAGCTCGCCTGCTATGCTTTTCAGCAGCCCATCGTCTGGGATGGCGGGAGCAGAGAGGCTAGAAGCTCCTTGGCCGTCTGCACTTCCAGGGCCTGTAGCTCTGGGACAGCCCACCAGACAGACTGCCCTGGAGTCAGAGGTCCTAGGGTCTGTGACTGCAAAACAGCCCACCAGGCACACTGCCTTGGAGCTTGGGGCTCTGTCCCCTTTTGCAGAGAATTTTTTGCTCTCAATCGGAACAAACCCAGATTCTGAACTCTTGAAATCCTCCATGAAAGGGAATGACCTCCCTTCAAACAGCTAGAGTTCTAACCAGCAGGCCCAGCTCCCAGAGCTGAGAAAGGAAGCCCAGAGTCCTGACTCTCTGTCTTAACCGCTAGATCACATTCCTCTTGCAGAGTTAGGAAAAGAACCCAGGCTTCCTGAATGGCCAGTCCACTGCTCTCACCTCTGGATGACCATCTCTTTCCTAATGTCACACCTGTGGGATGGGTAATCCCCAGCAGTTTGGAGTCACGGGTTCAGACGTTCTAATGAATGGGTAGCACTGTGTCATCCGTGTGTTGGTCTTTTGTTTTTGTGGTTTTTGTTTATTTTAATCTTTTCCTTAAGGATCCGGACGTCTGGCATAAAAGGCCTCCAGGGGGTGGTGAGGAAGACGGTTAATGATGAACTCCAAGCGAACATCTGGGACCCGCAGCACATGGACAAAATCGTGCCTTCGCTGCTCTTCAACCTACAGCACGCAGAGGAGGCTGAGAGGTGGGAGTTTGCTTTTCCCTTCCTGGTAGGGGGCGTGGAGCTGCAGATAGCGTTTTTGGTGCTGCTTAGAATTCCCCAGTGCTAGAGTCTGGGTAGCAGCAAACTGTTGTTCTGTTCCCCGAGCAGCGAGGAAGGGTTTGAATTCCTGGAGGGCCCTCTGTCCTTGCTGGGTGAGAAATGGGTGGACCCAGCCTTGGGAGGCTGTCTGGTTTCAGTCGCAGTGTACACGTTGAAGCAGATCCTCAGCTGGCACAAATCGATGTCAACGGAGCTACGTTGGTTTGCAGCGTTGAGGACCTGACCCATATTTCCTACTATTGCCACAAAAAAGGGATGGCTAAAACAACAAAACGATCTTCTCTTAAACTGCACCCCAACCCCCCGCATCAGGCTTTCTGCAGACGTCATAAAGAGGTGTAAAAAAAAAAAAAAAACAATCCAGACATTTTGTTTCCATTGCAGGTGACCTTTAAGTAGAACTGGGTGACATTTATTTTATTTTATTTATTTCTTGGCAAATGGTAAATTCAATGAAACATCCATTTTCCAGGGGACCAAAACGGTTTGCGAATTTGGGTCGAATCTGGTGGAAATAAAAAGAAGAAGAAAATATATATTCAAAAAGACAAAAAAAATTTCAACCATTTAGACACTATATATTTTGATTTTTCACTTTGAAACAATGATTTTGTTTTGAAATGCAGCTAGATTTGACAAAAAAACCCCCAACAAGGTTTTTAAACAAGCAAACAACCAAAAAAAAAACCCTTGAAAATGAAACACAACAAAAAACTGGGGGGGGGGGGATCACTTTTGGTTGAACGAATTGAAAAGTTTCTGCTGGAAACAAACCAATTCTCCGGATCAGTGATTCGCTGAGTGCCGTTCTCAAGTTCTGCAGCTAGCTAGTGGCAGAATCATGAGCCCTGGTTCCCTGCCCTCTGCCCTGTAGCCTGCTACCAGCTCTCCGTTTTGTTTATGTTCTCTCAAGCGCACAATATTTAACGGGCGTTAGAGTTTGGGGCCTTCGGAAGATTCCTTAAAATGAGGCAACTTGAGTTTTTGTTTGTGGTGTTTTCTCTCTGCGGGACTGAAATTGCCTGCGGGGAAAGTTCTTCATTATGATGATAGCGCTTAGAGGCCCTGTTGTCTTAGTTGCTGTACAGACGCCTGAAAGGAAGCACTCCCTTCCCTGAGCAGCTTGCAATCGAAAGAGACAAGACAAAGGCAGTGTTGTTATCCCCACTTTGCAGATGGGGAACATAGGCACAGAGAGATGAAGTGAAGGGTGTGGGGAAGCTTGAGGCAGAGTTAGGAATTGAACCCATCTCCTGAATCCTAATCAAGATCATTAGCCACCAGCTGTTCGACTCAGCTTGCTTTGCAGAGCTGTCAAGGTGAAAGTGCAGACCTGTGCATTCGCCAGATAAGTCTCAGCTTTTTCTCCGCTCTCTCTACAATTTTAGAGAGGAGTAATTGCCAAGACAGCGTGCCAGCTGTGATGGGAGATTAGGTAAAACCTCTCTCTCTCTCTCCCTTCCCCATCATATGCCTCAGGCATGTCCACCCCAGCCTGCTGGGTTTTCACAAGCAGACAGGGATTTTTAAGGGAAATTACTCAGGCAATAGATCCGCTTTCTTAAGATGCTTTTACAGACTGGCGAGAAAGGGAAGTATGCATGAATTCTGCCTGGTTTATTTTGAAGGTTAGGAAAGATGCCTTCAAAAATCAAATGTTTGGGCTTAAAACTCCTTCATGGTGTTTGCATAAGCAAAAGGTCCAAGCGGAAGGCCAGATCCTGATGCCAGCATGTATCTGGAGTAACTTGTGAGTAGGCAGCAAGTTACCCTGGATTTGCACCAGCTGAAGCGAGGGCAGGTTCTGGCTCTGGGGGGTCTGATTTTCGAAGTGGTGCACAAAATCCCATGTTTCATATTCAAATAGGCATTTATGGTGTGTAAAACACTGCAGTCTCCTGGCTTTGGGTGTCTACCACTGTCCTCTAGTGGTTGGCTCCCAGAAAGAATAAAGGAGCCTTTCTGGGTGTGCCTATAATGCGCACGAAGCCCGGGCTCTGATGCAGGTTGGCGCCCAAGTCTGACCACACACAAATCAGTGTGACTCGGGTCAGCAAGCACTGAGGGCCCAGGCCCTAGGACTCTGCTAGGGGGATGGGTCAGAGCCCAGGTCCTGCTGTGACAGATCCAAGCCCTCTCCTTGTGCGGTGTGGACACAGCTCAGGCTGCAGACCCGTGGTAAATGGTCAGCCCAGTGCGGGACGGATGCATTGGCAGGGCTGAGACACCCGGATCCAGCAATTGTAGTGCAGTGTGGACACTCAAGCCCAGGCTTGGAAACACCAGGTCCCATAGACCCAGGCTTAGTGTGCACTATAGTGCTCCCATGAAAGGGGTTACCTGAAGTGGTTGAGACCTGTGTATTTGGATGGGGGTTCTAGCCTTGGCTCCCCAGGTGCACGTCTTAAGTTTTTGTAGTGACTGAGTGTGCAGCACGTGGACAGTCTCCTACGGATACACACTGCAGACCAAAGGTCCATCTCCTGCCCCATGGGTCAGAAGCACAGGGCTGGCTGGTAGCAGCGAGCTGGGTGCTTTGCTGCCTCCTTGTCCCTGACTCACTGTCTGGCTGCCTACGCGGGGGTCTGTGCAGCACCCGTCTGGCACTCGGGTGCCATGGCGACATGTTTTTCAAACATGATTCGTATGGAAACCGAGGCAGATCAGTGTGTGTTTTTCAGATTGTTCTCAAGGCGCTGGGGTCTCTCCTCACTCTGATCTGAGCTCCGCATTCAAGGGCCCATGGCTAAGGAAGCTCTGACCCCACTCGCCCTCATGGTCCCGTCCATCCTCCAGAGGTACTAATAAGATGTATAGTATTGGAATTGGAAAAGGTTCAGAAAAGGGCAACAAAAATGATTAGGGGGCTGGAATAGTTTCCATATGAGGAGAGATTAATAAGACTGGGACTTTTCAGCTTGGAAAAGAGCTGACTAAGGCGGGATATGATAGAGATCTATAAAATCATGACTGGGTGTTGAGTAAGTAAATAAGGAAGTGTTTGCTCTTTCTCATAACAGAAGAACTAGGGGTCACCAGATGAAATTAATAGGCAGCAGGTTTAAAACAAATAAAAGGAAGTATTTCTTCACAGAATGTACAGTCAACCTGTGGAACTCCTTGCCAGGGGATGTTGTGAAGGCCAAGACTATAACAGGGTTCAAAAAAGAATTAGATAAGTTCATGGAGGATAGGTCCATCAATGGCTATTAGCCAGGAAGGGCAGGGATGGTATCCCTAGCCTGTTTGCCAGAAGCTGAGAATGGTGAACATGGGATGGATCACTTCATGGTTACCTGTTCTGTTCATTCCCTCTGAGGCACCTGGCATTGGCCACTGTTGGAAGACAGGATACTTCGCTAGATGAACCTTTGGTCTGACCCAGTGTGGCCATTCTTAGGCACGTAGCTGCTGTGGGTGGTGATTTAGAAGGAGATGGTTTCTCAAGCAATCAGGGCCAGCCACCATCACAGCCAAGTCCTTGAGTTTGACGCTGTGCTTCCCGGGCAGGAGTGTGGTGGGGGGCTCCCAGTTGGTTTTTGTGTTTGAGTGGAGGCTGCTGGGGTCTGAGCCCACTGGAGCAGCCTCGCGGCTGGGGGGTTCACTACAAGGTATAATAAATAGCAGCGAGCTAGCCCAGAGGTCAGGAATGGCTGGTTAAGGATATCTGAGCACCTCACAATCTTCATTGTATTTACCCTCCCAGCACCCTGTGGGGTATGGCAGTGCTGTGGTCCCCATGCCACAGAGACTACACGACTTGCCAGCGTCGCGCAGGGTGTCACCGGTAGAGCAGAGAATGGACCCCGGGGTCCCAATTCTGAATCTAGCACTAACCGCTGTGCCATCCTACCTCTCAGAGTCAGCGTGGCCAGTTCAGAGTCTGATGGCACAGAGCGCAGCGTACTGGCCAGCTGGAGATGGGACGGGGTTTGTGTGACAGCCTCTGTTTAGGTTCATCAGGAGCTTGGATCTTCGATTCCAATAACCCCAGCATGTTACTCCCGGCTGAGTGTATAAAGCACAAATCGGTTGTTTTGGTGGGGAAGGGGAGAGTCGGAGCTCCCCCTACTGGCCCATTGCAGAATAAACTAGGCACCTCTTAAACCCTGAATCAAATGCCCTCTTTTACTTGGAGCCCTAATTTGTCAGAACAGAGGAATTTCCCACTGTCTGCCTCCATTCCATGGTACATCTGAGCTGTGCCACGCTGGTAAATGTTAGGATCTGCGCGGGTGGGAGAGGTCCACGTGGGCGGAGTCCAATAGTCAGCATCCCTTCTGTTTATAGATCATCTCTCCTGTCAAAGGAGCCCAGACTGGTCAACAGGTTCACCGCACACAGGGAATCCCTTCGCTGAGCACTGAAATGCAGCCACCCTGGAGCAGAGCAGAGCACAGCAGTTCTATTCTGCATGGTGCAGTGGCATACTGCAAGGAGATGGGATGAGCCGCTAGTGTAGCTGGCATGTAGGGAGGCAGTATGGCTCTCATTGTGGGCCCAGATTTCCAGTTCCAAAGGGCGGTTTTTATATTCTGGATGCTGGCGTCCTTCGCAGCGGAGGAGTGGCACCGCTGGGAGTGCAGCGTTGGAAAGAAAGCGAGAGCGTCGCGTTGTGGCACGGGAGAATGAGGGCGTGAAAATCGGTCTCCTTGATTGCTGCTGTACTGAGGGGTTGTACAGATGAGGCTTAATCTCTCTTTCCCTCTCTCTCAGCCGCTCTCCATCTCCCCTGCAAGCAACTGAAAAGGAGAAAGAGAGTCCCACTGAGCTGGCAGAAAGGTGCCTGCGGGAGTTACTGGGGCGAGCGGCTTATGGTAACATTAAGAACGCCATCAAACCTGTTCTCATGTAAGTCACTCGATCAGGTGATTGTCCCTCCACCCTGCCTGCATCTCTCTTGGGCTGGACACTCTGGCTGTCTGTGTTCTTGTTTCCTCATCCCCTTTTGTCCCAGAGGGGGACCCTTTTGTATTGTTGATAATAAGGAACACTAATATTGCTGTGAATTAGTGAGGCTTGGGTCTACACTACAGAGTTAGGTCGACATAAGGCAGGTTATGTTGACCTAACTATGTCAGAGTCTACACTACAGGGTTGCTCCCACCAATGTAAGTGCCCTACTACACCGATATCATAACTCCACTTCCAGGAGAGGCATAGGGCTCAGGTTGGTGTAGTTAGGGTGAGGCAGTGTCTGTATAAACACTGTGTTCCTTACATCTGCTGTTGGCTGGCTTGTCAATTTCATGGCTCAGCTGGAGCTGTGAAATTGACGAGAAAGTTGGCTCCTGGCTCCCCAGCCCCGGTGCTGCCAGGTCTCTACTCCAAGCCAAGCTGCCACCCAGGCTCCTGGCTTGAGCTGCCACTGGGAACCCTGCTGCCCCCTGGGGTCCTGGCTTCTCGCTCCCCATGGGGAGTACGGCAGCTGACTGGACTCTGGGCGCAGACCTCCTCGCCGGAAGTGAGAAGCCCTGGGTTACTGTATTCCAGCTTCTGGCTGGGAGTGGAGGAGGTGAGAAGCCCGGGGGGCAGCTGGTGAGAAGCTGCGTGGAGCTGAGAGCCCTGGCTCTCAGCCCCCCACACTGCCCTTCTTCAGTTGATGGAAGCGCTCCTGGTGAGGACATGCGCCACCGACAGAAGGAGGGTCATGTGGACATCAGCCACTGCAGTAGCTGTATATCGGCCTAACATAGGTCTACTTAAGATTGTAGGGTAGACATACCCTTAGTGTCGCTTTGTATGTAATGGAATCATAAGAACATCAGAACAGCCATACTAGGTCAGACCAGTGGTCCATCTAGCCCAGTATCCTGTCTCCAACAGTGGCCAATGCCAGGTGCTTCAGAGGGAATGAATGGATCAGGTAATCATCTAGTGATCAGATCTACTCAGCTGTGTGTCATAAACCTTAGACTGCTTATGGGCAGCGGAGATTCTCCTTTAGTTCAAGTGGCTGTGGGACCTGCGTTTCTGGATCAGGATGAGCTGAGTTCCATCTCTGCTGCTGCTTTGAAGTCAGTGGCTGCAGCCTGGAGCAGAATGGCAGCTCTGATGTCCCGGAGGCAGTGAATTTGTTCCAATACCTAGGGCATTGCACTTTTTCAAGTGCTGTGTACGTGTTTGGTAATCTCCTCCTCCCAACAACTACTTCCCCTAGTGGGCAGGTAACTACCATCAGCCCCAGTTTGGTGAGGAGGGAAACTGAGGCACAGAAAAGCTGAATGATTTGCCCATGGTTACAGAGGGACTGAATGGCAGAGCTGGGATAAAGACCTAGGAGTTCCTGGGTCCCCATCCCAGCCATACAGAAGCAAAGTCAGTGAGCACAGTTGTGGACTAACCCCTGAAAGTGAGCAACTCCTGGGCCTGGGAGGGAATTGCAGAAAAAGGCAGACAAATTAGCTCTTTACAGGGTTTGAGCTTTAGCTGGCAGTTTGCAATTCTACGTCGGCTCCCCCTTCCTGATCTTTGCTCTTCCGCCTCCTCTCACTCCCTGCTCTGACTGCTTCTGTGTCACCCGCCTCCCACGCTGTTTATTTGCTGTTTTCTCTGAGCAAAGGGAAAAGATGCCTTTGCTTGTCGTACCAGCAAGTCTACAAGCCTCTGTAATCGTTAAACTAACTCTTCTCTCTCTCTCTTTTTTTTTTTTTTCCTTTCCCTGAAGCCATCTAGACAACCACTCGCTCTGGGAGCCAAAGACGTTTGCTATTCGTTGCTTTAAGATCATCATGTACTCCATTCAGGTGAGCCGCTGGAGAGATGGCGTTTTGTGTCATTTCAGTCCTGTAATGAATTGTGAGTGCATGCCCCATTGCTCTCTGCTAGGAGGAATCTGAACTGCACAACTTGTGTGTCAGTGGCCCGGTGCTGCTAACTGTGGTGAAGGCCTGTGCTTTTTGAAGAGAAGGATCTAGCTTCTGTCCCTGTTGTCGCTGTGAAAGTCTGAGTAACCACTGCATGCAGTGCTCTGGCAATGATGGACAGATTTGTTGCACTCTATATAAGACCCTGTGGGTAATTCCCTGGAATTAATCTGTATGTGTCAACACAGAGATTTGCTATCAGATGGTTCTTTGCAAATTACATCAACATATAAATATTGATACCTTGCCCTTACATGGTACCTTGCAAAGATGGGGAGGTTGTTACCACCATGTTACAGATGGGGAAATTGAGGCACGGAGGATAAGTGACTTGCCCAAGGCCATACAGAACTCCTGATTCCCAGTCCTGTGCTCTAACCGCTAGATCATACTACTTCCATGATTTACCTGTGGCACTAGTGACTGATCCTAAACCCGTTATTCAGTCAGTGAGAGTTTGCCTGAGTCGGGACTACAGGATTGGGGAATGCATTGAATCCTTGTCGTCTTGTTGCTGCCTTTGTCCTTCCCTTTCCTCGTTCATTAGACACGCTCGCAGCCCGGTGCAGCAAATAATGAGAGACCCTCGCTGTGCTGGGTGTCAGGATCCTGCCCTGCACTCTGGAGAAGGACAGAGAAGGCCTATCATGAGGCTGGAGCTCCCAGGAGGAATTCAGGCTGACACAGCCAGAACTCCTGGGGTGCTCATGCTGGAGTGGGAGTGCAGAGTCCCAGCTGTGCTAGCCGGTTCAGGCAACAGGACCATGGCCCTGCCCTCTTCAGGGAGCTGCTGCATGTGAAGTGGCTAGCAGGGACTATGCTTCCTAATGGGATTCTGGCCAACCCCTGGCAATCCACTCCTGGAGCCCGTCCTTGTGCACCCACTTGGGGCTAGCCAGAATTTGGCCTCGAGATCTCCTGTCTTGGACAGCCAGGGCATTGCAGATACAAGAAGTAATGCCTTAGGCTAGGGGGTCCCATCCACAATTGCTATATCAGGGGACCTCTGTTACCTAGGCAGAGGTCAATTACCTGCCTTGGAATTTGGCCAGGGCTAGCGACCCTTTTCTGCGAGCCAATAAAACGCCGCTCTAAAGGACCGTGTGTGTGGGGGACCCAGAATACAGCCTGTCTCTCTCTCCTTGGGGAGCCATTCTTTCCCTGTTTGTCAGTGCAAAGCAACGTCCCATTGAGTTAGGTGGTATGGCAATATGGTGGAAAAACCTTGTCAAGGGAGCCATGGGGAGCTACCCGTTTCCAGCTTGCTGCCGTTACATCAGTGCACGCCGCCTGTCTCGGCAGAAAGGGAAAGGAGCCGCCCGAGGCTAAGCACAAACTGTGCAGACAGGAGAAAACGATACAGGTCAAATTCTGCGCTCAGTCACTCCCACGGAGCCCCAGTGGCTTAGCAAGATGTTGCCTGGAGGTAAGTGAGGGGAGAATTTGACCCTCGTGTGTAGGATACTGGAAAGATATTGAAACAAACTGTGAAATAATCAGTCAGCCTCTGGAGGAGAATAGGGTTAGCAGGAATGGCCAGCATGGCTTTGTCAGGAATAAATCACGGCAAACCCACTGAATTTCCCTCTTTGGCAGGGTCGCTGGCCTAGTCACTGGGCGGGAAGCTTTCGACATAGATTCATAGATATTTAGGTCAGAAGGGACCATTATGATCATCTAGTCTGACCTCCTGCACAACGCAGGCCACAGAATTTCACCTACCACTCCTACAAAAAAAAACCTCACACCTATATCTGTGCTATTGAAGTCCTCAAATCATAGATTAAAGACTTCAAGGAGCAGAGAGTCCTCCAGCAAGTGACCCGTGGCCCATGCTACAGAGGAAGGCGAAAAACCTCCAGGGCCTCTTCCAATCTGCCCTGGAGGAAAATTCCTTCCCGACCCCAAATATGGCCATCAGCTAAACCCTGAGCATATGGGCAAGCCAGATACTATAGAAAATACTTTCCTGGGTAACTTGGATCTCACCCCATCTAATAGCCCATCACAGGCCATTGGGCCTATTTACCATGAATATTTAATTACCAAAACCATGTTATCCCATCATACCATCTCCTCCATAAACTTATCGAGTTTAATCTTAAAGCCAGATAGATCTTTTGCCCCCAATGCTTCCCTTGGGAGGCTATTCCAAAACTTCACTATACCTTGATTTCAGTGAGGCTTTTGACACAGTCCCACGTGACATTCTCATAAGTTAACTAGGGAAATGTGGGTTTGATGAAGTTACTATAAGGTGGATTCACAACTGGTTGAAAGACTGGAGTAGTTGTCACTGGTTTGCTGTGAAACTGGGAAGATGTATCCAGTACGGCCCTACGGGGGGGTTCCTGGCTCCAGGGCCGTTCAGTCTTTTCATTAATGGCTTGGAAAATGGAATGGAGAGTATTCAGATGCCATCACGCTGGGAGGGGTTGCCAGCCCTTTGCAGACGGGATTAGCATTCAAAACCACCTTGACAAACTGGAGAATTGGTCTGAAATCCAAGAGATGAAATTCAATAAAGACAAGTGCAGCGTACTTCACTTAGGAGGGAACTATCAAAAGCACAACTACAAAATGGGGAATAACTGGCTAGGGGGTCGTACTGCTGAGAAGGATCTGGGGCTTATAATGGGTCACAAATTGAATATGAGTCACCAGTGTGATGCAGTTGCGAAAAAGGCTAATATCATTTGGGGTGTATTGACGGGAGCGTCGTATGTGAGACATGGGAGGTAACTGTCTCGCTCTGCTTGGTGCTGCTGAACTACTGGAAGTGGGAGCACTGTGTCCAGTTCTGGGTGCCACCGGTTAGGAAAGATGTGGACAAATTCGAGAGAGTTCAGAGGAGAGCAACAAAAAGGACCTGTGATCAAAGGACCTGTGAGGAAAGGTTACAAAAACTGGCCATGTTTAGTTTTGAGAAAAGAAGCCTGTCAGGGGACCTGATAACAGTCTTCGAATATGTTAAGGGCCATTATAAGGAGGATAATTATCAATTGTTCTCCATGTCCTCAGACAGCCTTATCTGCAGCAAGGTTTAGGTTAGATATTAAGTGAAAACTTTTGAGCTCTCAGGGGAGTTCAGCTCTGGAACAGGCTTCCAAGGGAGGTTGTGGAATCCCTGTCATTGGAGGTTTTTAACAGATTGGCCAAACACCTGTCAGGGATGGTCCAGGTTTACTTGGTTCTTCCACAGTGCAGGGGGCTGGACTTGACAACTTTTTGAGGTCCCTTCCAGCCTGACGTTTCTATGATTCTATGACTCTGTGCTTTATCTTTTTCCCCTTCTTGCTCTGAAGCCCTCCCCTTTCAGGTGACGTTGTTGAATTGAGTTAGGCCCCAGATTTAGGTTTTGTTAGAAAACAGGATTCTAGAAATCCTGAGGTAATTAGAAATGTTTCCATGATCTCTTTGTTTGAATCCCAATGAAAATATATTTCTGTCTGGATTGTCATCTTGCTTCCCTTCTTTGTTGTCACTTAGCCCATTTACTTTTCACCCGTCGCATTGGTTATTTATCCTTTTTCCACTCTGCACAGCTGGGCAAACGGAGAGGAAGGACAGCTTGGTGGTTAGGGCATTAGCTGCGGAGACCAGGTTTCAATTCCCAGCTCAGCCACTGACTTCCTGTGGGACCACGTACAAGTCACTTAGCCTCCCTGTTCCTCAGTTTCCCATCCTTACAATGGTGATCGTAGCACTGTCCTGCCTCACAGTGATGTTGTCAGGATAAATCTTTTGCTACTACAGTGATAGGGTACCAAAGATGTCAGTGTCACTTTTGTTTCTCGTTAATTTTGATTTATGGCTCTCTCCTGACAGCTCAGCCCTACTGTCCTTGGGGAATGCTTACATTAGGAAAGGCACCTGTTTTCATTGCATGTTTTATCTTGTAAACTGCACGATGCCCATTATCTTTAGATTAGGTTTTATAAAATCAATTTTTTTTACAAAATCTAAATGCTGGGCTTAAGTAACTCACTAGGGTCCGTTTGAAGGATACACAATCAATACATTCTCCCTTCATAAATACCTGGGGTTAATCACTTATTGGACCAAGTCTTGTTGGTGAGAGAGACAAACTTTCGAGCCACACAGAGCTCTTCTTTAGGTCTGGGAGAGGTACTCAGCGTCACAGCGAAATACAAGATCGAATGGATAGTTTAGCATAAATAGTAAGCACATATTGTAAGGGACCAATGCTAAGCTATTTGACCTTGTATTTATCTGTGACGCTCTCAGTACCTCTTCCAGGCCTGAACAAGAGCTCTGTGTGGCTCAAAAGTTTCTCTCTCACCAACAGAAGTTGGTCCACTAAAAGATATATGACCTCCCCACTTCATCTCTTTCATATCCTGGGACTGACCCGGTTACAACACCCACGCATACAGGATTAATCATGACAGTGGCTTTTATACATATGTAAACCCTGTAAATCATTTCCCCTATATGAACATCTCCAGACTAAAGTTCCATGCACTAGACTTTTGTAAGTGTTTCCATTCTGCACGTACATTTCTATTTGGTAGCTCGAAAAGACCTGTTAAGGCATCAGATGTATTCCTGGGACAGTGAAGGTTGTTCCCTCCATGGTATATTTCCCTGTGCCTCTTTCCATAAATACACTGGTGCAGTCTGTGCGAGCGCATCTTCTACTGGCTGGACCCAGCCTCTTACTTTCCCTTCGTTAAGGGTGGTCCCCTTGAGATCGAGTGGCAGAGACCAGTGCTTTTGGTGCTGAAGATTCCTGATTCTGTCCTTCCAGGGGACCTGTCATACCTGCATGTCTGTGGCCATGCTAATGTGCACATGAAACGAGCCGCTGAGCTCTCCAAGCCAAGGTAGTGGGTGCCATTAGGAGTGACACATTTATCACTCACAGGTGTTAAATTGATCTCAGCACTTGCGGGATTGGCCACAGAATTCCTCCCCAACTCACCTTCCTGCTGCCATCTCCCTGGCGTCAGTGGGATTACACAGGCCGCAGGCAGGCACAGAATTTGGCCTGGTATGGAAGATTCCACACACACAGGTCAATAGTTCAGTGCTGCGTACGTCCATTTTTAATGGGCACCATTGTGCGGTCAGGAAAGGCTCTGTGCAGAAGTGACCCCGCACCCTGTGTGCCTTCCAGTTAACTCCGCTGCCTTCCTTGCAGAGGTGGTGCTGCTATGGGAAAGCAGGCTGGATTCTGCCCTCGCATGGATGTCATCCGCCAGGTGCTGACTGTCAGGCCTTCCTTTCTTGCGCTGGTGTCCGAGGCAGGAATTGCCCCCAAACTGCTAAGGTCGGCTCGGCTCAGCAGCCATCTATCAGCGTGGCTCACTCTCTGCTTTCCTTCCAGCCTCAGCATTCCCACTTGGTGATCCAGCAACTCCTGGGACACCTGGATGCCAACAGCAAGAGTGCAGCCACGGTGCGGGCTGGGATCGTGGAGGTCCTGTCGGAGGCAGCTGTCATCGCAGCCTCGGGATCAGTGGGTAAGGAAGGGACCCAGTCCAGTGAGCCTCCGATCATGGCCGGAGGGCACTCCCATGGCTTTCCCTGTCCCTCCAGCGGCTGAGTCTGCATCTGCCTCTCCAGGCTGGAGCTCCCGGCCGGGCTGGAGTGATTCCCTTCAGGCTGGGGCCTGCAGCAGTAACTGATCTGAGAGGCACGGTGGGAGCTGGGTTCTCAGGAGCCAGAAATGGCAGCTCCAGGAGCCATGGCGAAAGCTTGGCCCAGTGCAGGCTGCTGCACTGTAGCAACTGGAAGCATTTGTCAGTTTCCTTTCGAGACCCATTAGACGGGACGGGGCATTGCAGAAGTGCCAGCAGTTACCCAGCACATTGAGATGCCAGCTGGGGATAAAACGTCTACGCAACTGGGAAGGAAATGAGGCAGACAGACAGGCACTGGGTTGATGGATTGTTGGTGCCCGCAGTACTGTGTCAACAGGGAATGGTTCAGCCTGGCTCGTTGCTTCCCTTTGCACTGCCAGCAGCTGGCACCATGGGCACCAGGTCAGAGAGCAGGAAGTGTCCGAGCTTCGGGGGGAGAACGGTTTGATTTAGGTTTGTTCCGACTCCCGGCTGGAAAGATCTGAGAGTGGCAGGTGGTGCGTTTGGAGGGGCGGACTCCCCGGCAAGGCTTTTACACCTGAGGCCTGCTCCTGCTCCCACCTCTGGCAGCAGCCGAGTGGGACAAGGGAGGTGCCCCTTAGTTGCCTGAGCCCAGCTGGCCTTAGGTGCTGGTGGATTGGCTGGTTCTACGGGGTGAGCTGAGCACATGCAGCCTGGGATTATGGGCTTAAGGGAGACCTGCTGGCATTTGGACAGCACATCCACCTGTGGATTCCCTTGTGCTCAGCGCTCCTGCTTCGAGCTGTAGAATCGCAGAATCCGGGCCGGGGGGGGTTCCTGCTGCTTAGCACTTGGGGGCAGAGACCCGGGAGTCCTGGGCTCGGTACCCCTTGCACTCCTGGCCTCCTGATGCACAGTGTGACATAAACGCAGATGAATTAGTTCTGTCCATTTATCAGACGCTCTTAAATCCTGGATTCCCTGGGGCTGTGGGCTTCCCATCTCTCAGCTTCAGTGTCTCAGGCACATCAGGCCAGGGAGCGTTGGCTAGTGCCTGTTGCAGGGGACTGGGAGTTGAGCTCCTCGGCTCAGTTTCTGGCACTGTCTCACCGTGTGACCTAAGGTCGGCAAAAAGCAGCTAATGAGACCGGGTCAGTAGAACAAGGAGATGAGCGGGCAGGTTGTTAGAGATGGTGGTTCACATCAGGATTGTACTGGGCTTTGTTTTTCCATACATTTCCTGCCCTCCCCCCCCCCCCCCGGCATCTTTTCTGTGTCTTTCTTTCTTGTATTTATATTCCTTACAAGTATGTGGTCACATGTATTCAGGCCAGAGGTGCATCAGAAACACACAGACCCTTGGAGAAACCAGGTAGGTGTTGGCATTATAGGAGCACATCAGGATCTCTTTGTGCTAGGCGCTTCACCAACATGCAGTGAGAGATGGTCTCAGCCCCAAAGAGCCAGCAATCAAAATAGATGAGACAGAAAGGATGGGAGGGGAAACCGAGGCATGGAGCAGTGAAGTGAGTTGCCCAGGATGACACAGCAGGTAGAGGGCAGAGCTGGGAACAGAGTCCTGAGTCCCAGTATGCTCTGCACCTTGAAGCCTGGACAACTCTATGCGACGGAGTGCATCTCCATAGCAAAACTGCCGTGTTCTCTTCTGTAGGCAGCGTAGCTGGAGTCGTGTCAGTCCCAGGATATTAGAGACGATGACCTGTAGAAGAGCTCAGGGTGGCTCAAAAGCTTGTCTCTCCGCAACAGAAATTGGTCCAATAAAAGAGGTCACCTCTCCTGCCTTGTCTTTCTCGTATTCTAGTCTGTTTGTTTCATCTGTTCTCGCTAGGATCTCACATCCCCGTGGTATCTAACCCCCTCCCGGTCATGCGTTCAGCAGCATGACTGCGCAGCTCTCTTGCTGTTTGTTCTCCCGTCCTCTCCCCACAGGCAGATGTGATTGCAGGGGGTGGCTTGCTTTGTTAGGGTTGTAGGGGATTTGGGGGTTTTCAACACTCACATTTCTCTGTATTTGTGTTAGGGAGAGCGAGTCAAAGAAATGCGCCTTGCAGTCGGAGCAGAAGCAAGAGAAGTTTGTGATGGTCTTTAGCTTCTGGGGGAGTTCCCTGGAGCACTGCGGTGTTACGTGGGGAGGCCCTAACTGCTGTAACCCTGTGCAGATGGCATCAGACCATTGTAGCGACCTTGCCGAGCCATGCTGGCCAGGGCTTTCCAAAGCGCTCAGTGTAGTCCTAGGTCTGTTCCCTGAAAAGTCAGTGGTCATACTCCCCTTTGATGGGCGCAGAGTTAGGTGAAGGCTCAGCCTGTTTGAAAACCTGACTCACTCCCTCCCTCGTGGCCTTGCCTACATCAGAGCTTTCTCCAGATCGCTGTTACCCCCAGTCTCCGTGGTGGCAATGGAGGGAGCGCTGCTTGGGGCTGTTGGCTTTCTCCATCATTTGGCTCATCTGACATGATCAGGATGGTCAAAGGTGGCAGCAGCCGGGGTCCCGTCTGGCCAAGCACCGCCCACTGTGGGAGTTGAACCAGTGGTTGCAATTGTGGGGTGTGTCGGGGTGGGGACTTATGTCCCAGTCATAAAGACCCCAGGGGCCAAACTCCCCGTTGAGTTGAGTTGGGTTTAACAAGGGCTTTACTTCAGATTGCTAACAAATCACTAGCACCGTTTGGTCCCATCTGTGCTGGCAAACCCCAGACTGTGCTCTCGGAAATGATCCTCGGATGTGGGATCTTTGCTAGTGTAGATGTGAGAGGTAATGTGTGAGGTTCATACTGGTGGGAGGGTTGAGTTTGTGGCACTGTCCACTCTGGCCCTGTGTCTCTGTTGGGGGTCTGAAGAGCAAGGACCATAAGCCTGGGATGTCCTCTTCTTTGTCAGGTTGCATCCTAGTGTGACCAGCCCCCTCTCGCTTACAGTGGGGCTGCATGTCCCAGTAGGAGTAGCAGGGTTGGCTGAATGGGAGCAATGTGGTGTAGCGGCTAGACCGCTGGCCTGGGTCTCAGGAGATCTTGGTTCAATTCCGGCTCGGCCCTTGGCCTGCTGGGTGACTTTGGGCAAGTCCCTGCCTCTCTTTTTGCCTCAGTTTCCTCATCTGTAAATTGGGGGTCATGATACTGACCTTTAAGTGCTGTAAGAGCTAGGTGGTGGTATTGCTTAATGCCTCTGCCTGCCCTCTCTGCCCTGCTCAGGACCGACTGTGCTGGAAGTGTTCAATACCCTGCTGCGGCAGCTCCGACTGAGCATCGACTATGAGCTGACAGGCAGCTATGACTGTGCTGTCATCAGTGCCCAGATCATCAAGGAGCATGAAGAGAGGATGTTCCAAGAGGCCGTTATCAAGACCACAGGTATGCAGGTCGCGCGCTGTGGGGGCATCGCGTCCTCCATTGGCCGGAGGGGCCTGCTCTGCTAACAAGGATGTGTTCAGATAAGGGCGGAGTCATTTGCTGCTGCTGTCGGTCGGGCTGGACAGGGGTGATCTGATGGTTGTGAAAACCAGACCCATAAAACAGGAAACTATCCAAACCACATATCACGCCGAGGAGCAAAATCGGCTAGTCAAGGAGGAGCCAGCCCTACAGTGCTAGTTACAGGGCAGGTCTGCCGGGATCTAATTGACCGATGTTCCCACATCCTGAGTAAGATTCTTTCTAAGACGAGGGAACACCAGGGAAGTGTACATCCAGCCTGACTTGTGAGTCTGCATTGAAACCCACAGACTCGGCTTGGGGTCAGGCCCTAGAGACAAAGGGGGAAGTGCAGCAGTGGCGTTGGGAAAAGGCTCAGGGAAAGTGACATCTGAGCCAATAATGGAACGATCATTGTTTATCCCTAAATGCCTGACCTTACACTTCTCACTATTAAATTTCATCCTATTCCCATTACTCCAGTTTACAAGGTCATCCAGATCCTCCTGTAGGATATCCCGGTCCTTCTCTAAATTGGCAATACCTCCCAGCTTTGTGTCATCCGCAAACTTTATTAGCACGCTCCCACTTTTTGTGCCGAGGTCAGTAATAAAAGGATTAAATAAGATTGGTCCCAAAACTGATCCTTGAGGATCTCCACTGGTAACCTCCCTCCACCCTGACAGTTCACCTTTCAGTAGGACCCGCTGTAGTCTCCTTGCTAACCAATTCCTTATCCACCTTTCAATTTTTATATTGATCCCCATCTTTTCCAATTTAACTAATAATTCCGCATGTGGCACGGTATCAAACGCCTTACTGAAATCTAGGTAAATTAGATCCACTGCGTTTCCTTTGTCTAAAAAATCTGTTACTTTCTCAAAGCAGGAGATCAGGTTGCTTTGGCATGGTCTACCTTTTGTAAAACCATGTTGTATTTTGTCCCATTTACCATTGACTTCAGTGTCCTTAACTACTTTCTCCTTCAAAATTTTTTCCAAGACCTTGCATAAACAACTCGGTTTTCCCAATCAGCTCAGTGGAAAACACAAACCCGGGAGTTTCTTGGAATTGTCACCCACTTCTTTATCCTGCCATTTATTTCACTTATGTCTCATTTGTAAATTTCCCAGAGGGGTGAATTGGCTTCCTATAGGAAATCGATACTTTGGCAGAAGTTTGGATCCAGTTTAGATCATAAGTGGCTGTGACTTGGATGGATCTGTCATCTGGGTTCCCATTTGTCCATATCACAGACTCACATCCTGATGGGAGGGGTGCATGGTCAGGAGGGGCTGAAAATCAGGACCGAGGTGCAGAGCAAACAAATGATTGAAAAGCTGTTGTCCTTAGCTTGGCGGTACAGATGAATTGAGGAACAGCAAAAACAATGAGCAGTCCTTGTGGCACCTTAGAGACTAACAAATGTATTTGAGCATAAGCTTTCGTGGGCTAACACTTGTCTAGCAATGACAAAGAAATACCAGCGGAGGGCAGTATCCACCCAAGAATGCCCAAACACAGCCTCATCTCCGAGGCTGAACACAGGGAACTGCAAAGAGATTCTGGCTATAGGCGGAGATTTCCGTTTGCCCTTGTGAGATTTGGGAGCAGTGTAAGAGGTAGTGGGCATGAGCTAACTACGAGGTATGAGCCTCCCTGCAGTTCTAATTTGTGCCGCAGCCTTTACACTGCTGGAATAGGATCATTTTGTCTCCAGGTGCCCAGGTGGAGAGGCAGGATGCTGCTGATCCAGGCCTGCCCGTCAGAGGAGCCTCTAGTCTGAGCAGTGAATCAGAGGCGCAGCAGCAGGGGTAGCCCATTGCCGGCTTGGCTTGGCTGTCTGCCTTCTGCCTGAGGAGTCCTTGTTCTTGGTGGATCTGAGCTCTGTTCACCCTACCCCTCCCTCGAGGAGGGGCGTGAGTGTAGGGCAGGGACATGAGGGGAGACGGAGAAATCCGAGCGAGGAAGCTGCTGCAGGCCACTGCCTAAGCTCCTCAGGACTTTTGTTCTCTCCGCTGGGAATGGCACTGCAGCCAGCCTGCCTGCTGCTTAGCCCTGGCAGGCCGGCTGTAGCCAAGCCCTGCCGGGGCGGATTCTCCACTCACAGCTCTGAGCAAACCCAGTGGTGCGGTCCCAGGGGGAGGAGGAGAGAGAACGGCCCTGGCTGGGCAGGTTCTGGCCCTCCCTACGCCGGGACGTACTTACCCCTGACCTGGTGACCCTGTGTGCTGCTAAGCCCGGGGCTGAGAGGAGCAGGATATGCCGGAGCATACTGCTCTGAAGGCCACTTCTGCTGCCTGTGTGGTGTTGATTAAGGTGGGCCTTTCCCCTGCTTTTGGCTTTCTGAGGGGCTAAGGGGTACCGCTTGACGCCTGTCAAGACCAAACGCTAATCGCCTGAGCTGTGTGCTGGTGATGACTTACCCAACCTCTGCTACTGCCATGAAATAAACCCCGCCCATGAATGCCAGTGGGCCACCCTGCTGATCCCGCTCACGGCAATCCGAGGAGGAAGCCCCCTTGGTGCTCTTCCTGAGGTTCAGCCTGGGGGCTCTCTCTGGCCAGGCGTGTCGTGGGGTAGGTAAACGGACGTGCAGGGCTCAGTTCTGTGTGGGATGCTCACTGACCGCCGAGGGCAGAGATGGGTGCGCGGGCGTCTGCTGTGGAAATGGGAACTGGGCGTGTGTTCCTCCTGCAGGTTGACCTTGACGGTCTTGCATGGTCTTAGTGCTGTTTGTCTTCTCAGGTTCCTTTGCCAGCACCCTCCCCACCTATCAGAGGTCCGAGGTCATGCTCTTTATAATGAGCAAGGTCCCACTGCCTTCTCTGCACCACGCTCTAGACGCTGGGAAAGCTGGGTGAGGACAAATTTACTTCTCTTCTCTCCCTGCCCCTCCTGCAGAAAGGGGATCTCTCTCAGGTGACACACTGGAAGCTGATCAAGAATTGGGTTTGGATTCGCTCCAGCAGGGATCCCTGGGGAAGTGTCCCCTGCCTCCCCTGGACATGCACCAGGCCAGACTTTAGTTCATATCCCGGACCAGTTTTCAGGAAGGTCTTTGACTCTTGGGACCGCTTCTCTGATTCATTGTACAGTAGAAGACTCCTTTCACTTCTAGGTCCCTGGTTCAAATGCAGCCTCCGGTGGTTGAAGGTAGTGTCCATCCATGACCTTTATAAAATGAGCTCCGTTCAGCTTTTATTGGATGGGTGCCCAAATCACAGAGCCACCACCACAGCTGGTCCCCTTAGTAACCGAGACACCAAAGAGCAAGTGGGCCATGGAGGCTGACCTCCTGTCACCCCCGCCCCCTCAGTCAGTGCTTTGTACATTGGGAGGGCCGTGGCAAGGAAGCTTGCACGGCCATTTCTGTGACTATCGAGACTGCCATGCTTGCCATCTGCATTCACCCTCCAAATTCCCCGTCAAAGCCTCTTTACGGCGCAGTTAGAAAGGCACGTGAATCCAGTGTGTCATGAGCAAAGGGTTTCCCTCTTCCTTCTCACGCTTTGCTGCCTTTTCAGAATGTGACTGAAATCCTTATCCCAGGGCAAGAGAGCTTTGGGAGAGCAGAGCTTTAATAAGAGCGACCATATTGGGTCAGACCAAAGGTCCATTTAGCCCAGTGTCTTGTCTTCCCACAGTGGCCAGTGCCAGGTGCTTCAGAGGGAATGAACAGAACAGGGCAATTGTTGAGTGATCTGTCCCCTGCTGTCTACTCCCAGGATCTGCCAGTCAGAGGCTAAGGACACCCAGAGCGTGAGGTTGCGTCCCTGACCATCTTGGCTAATAGCCATTGATGGACCTATCCTCCATGAACTTACCTAGTTCTTTTTTGAACCCTGTTATAGTCTTGGCCTTCACAACATCCTCTGGCAAGGAGTTCTACAGGTCGACTGTGCGTTGTGTGAAGAAATACTTCCTTTTGTTTGTTTTAAACCTGCTGCTTATTAAATGCTTTAATGCTGCATCTCCATCCTTTCAGGCATACGTGGCCACAGGAGACTAGTAGCTTCATCAGAATTAGCCATGTGGGTTTGCTTGACTGTTCTGCTAGAGGCTGGAAGTGCGCAGAGGGCTAGGGCTTTGGGCAAGAGACTGAGTCAGGAATCCTGGCTGGTATTCCCCACCCCGTCACTGACTCACTGAATGACCTGGAGCAAGTCGCTCATGGCCTGACGTTCCGGGGTGTGGAGCACTCAGCTGCCACTGAAGACAGTTTCCCTTGTCTCAACCCAGGGGGAATGATACCATGATCACTAGCATCAGCTTGGAGATTAGAGACCGCTCTCCGGCTGGAGTGCAGGTGGCCGACCGCTTGAAGTCACTGACGCCGAAGGGGAGTGTCCATATACGTACACGTCCTAGTGTAAATTCTGTGCTCTGATTTATGGGCCTGGCTCCTGGGGAAATAAAGGGTTCTGAAGGCCAAATTCAGCCCTAGTGCTAGAAGTCTAGTTCTGGCTCTAGAGAAGTCTGTCCTTTCCTGGAGGGAGTGCCTGTACTGAGAGGGGGAGGCGTTATAGCTACAGACCACGACAGCTAGAGATAAGACGATGTCCCCATAAGTCGGGTCACGAGTTCAGCCTTGGCCAGTGACTAGAGCTGGGTACAAGTACATTTGGGAAAGGGAATAAAAACCAGGGATGTGACCTAAATCCAGAGATCAGACAAGAATAGCGGCTGCTCGCTGCTGATCACAAACGGAGCTTCCTGAAGGGCTGTCAGTGATAGATGTCAGTCAGGCCCAGATAGTGCAGGAACTGCCTGTTCTTTTCGTGACGAATGCCCTGCTGCTTCTAACTTGTCTCGTGGCTGAATTAGAAGAGCTTAAGGAAGCTAGAAGGACAAAGCAGGTCATAGATCTCTCTGTAGCTTTCCAGAGAGATGGGCCAAGCTATTGTGGTTCCCATTACAGAAGAGGGCATGTCAGATCTTAAAGCATCACCGATAACTGTGTGGTATTTAATGAAGCGCCAGCCCATTTGTGTTAACACAACAGCCCAGAGAGCAGCATTCAAGCTTGTGGCTAGTTTGTGTGTAAAGCTTTTACCCTCAGTGAGTAGAATAATGCTATTTAGTTTTTGCTATGGAAAAGAAACACGAGACTGAGGGTGTTGGGGGACAAAATAGAAACTGCTATTTGGAGCCAGGATAATGGCAGCAAAGATGAGAGATACTAGGCAAAGCGCTTTGGAGGGTGGTGCCAGATTCATATCGCGACTAGATTCTTAGCGCTTGGTGTGTAACAGGATTCGTATGGACAGCCTCATTTACGCTGGTGTAATTCCCTTGACTTCAGCGGAGACACTCCTGATTTGCACCAGTGCAAGATCAGAATCAGGCCCGCTAACTTCAGTGCTGCCCCTGCTGTGAGATCAGAGTCAGGCCGGCGGCCCCCGGTGGGTGAAAGCCAGGCGTTTCCAGGCTCGGGGATGGCAGACTGGAGTCACAGGAGCCATTTAGCGCAGCGCCGCTATCCGCTTCATCCCCAAGAGTTTTAAAATCTTACTAGACGCTGCGGGAAAGACGCAGCTGACTCCGTGCGAGGGTGCGAACTCATCTTTTACCCCGAAGGTTGCTCTTGTTCCTAATGAAGTCGCAGCTCACAACTGATCCTTGGGGGACGTGGCTTCCTGCCAGGTGCTTTAGCCTCGGAGTTCAGAGCTAGAGGGCGCGGAGAGAAGTCTTGTACATGGCCAAAGGACGATCGCGTTTCCCTGCAAACTCCCCGTGATGTTAATTGATCCAGCGAGCACGGACTGAGTTAAAATTCCAGCTGCGTCTACGCTTAAAATGCTACAGCGGTACACCAGCAGCCGCACTGCTTCCGCGTAGCCACTCGCTGCGGTTAATCCCCCTCCCCGAGAAGTGGTAGTTAGGTGGACAGAAGACCTGGCGTTGTCGAGAGGGTGGGTTAGTCTGGCTTAATCGCATCCCCGAGAGACATAGCTATGCCAATGTCCGCTCCCAGTAGAGACCAGCCCCCACATAGGGACCTCAGGATTTGTCTTATTGTGCAGCGACCGGGGGTGACTGTAGGATCACTGTCTGCAAACATCAGGAGGGTGTGAATGCTAAGGAGGGAGAGGAATTACGTCTGGTGGCCTGCAGGGGTCTGACTAGGAGCCAAGGGCAGTGACATCTATTGAGCAGTGAGTGCCCCGTATTAAGGTTAGTGGTGTGGCCACCGTTGCTTGAGCTGTTAAAACTGGCCTGGTTGAGGCATGAGGAAATATCCCATAGGGAACACTCCTGCCCTGGCCCTGGCGCAGGGAATAAACTGATGGCTTTGGGTTTGTGTAAGTCTCTTTTCCGTGCCGAGTTCAACGTTGGTTTTTGTCCCCCACAGGGAGAATCGGAATCGCCTGACTCAGATAATGCTGCTGAAATCCCTCCTGCAGGTACGAACAGGATCACCTGAGCAGGTGTGGCTGGTTTGGCAGCGAGTGCCCATGTAGTCTCAGCACGGGCCTTGCCCTGGGACAGCCGGTGGCTGGCTGGCTGGCGGTCATGCACCTGCCCTTCCTCAGGAAGGTTTGACTGCTCACCCTCATGCAAAGAACAGTACCCATGTTCGAACACAATATACCAAAGCAAGGACTGGCTGAGTGGCTCCGTGGCTAGTACCCTGCCGTGCCACATGGGTTCGATTTACAGTCCCTCTGTCTGGCTTTTCGAAGCTAGGGACGCGGTGTAGGTTGCAGGTGCAGCCCCGGCCTGTGTGCTGGAAAAGTGGTTGCTGCCCTTCAGGACTCCCCGTGCAGCCTGCCTCTGCACCAGCCCAACCTGTAGCCTGTTGGGGCTGCATGGAAGCTCCCATGCCAAGCTGCTCCCTGTGCCACGAGGGGTTAAAATGGAGCTCGGGCTGGTCCTCTGCAGGCCAGAGCATCTCTTCCGCCCATCCCCCAGCTTTAGGAAATGCTTTTCTCTCCCTGGGACGTTTTCCCCACTGGTCATATCCCTCTCTGCTCTCCCTCCACCTTGTGCAACCTGCAGGTCTCCACGGGCTTCCAGTGTAGTAACATGCTCACGGCCCTGCCTAGCTCTTTCCTGGACAGGCTGCTCTCGGCTGCATTGATGGAAGACGCCGACCTGCGTCTCTTTGTCCTCGAGATACTGATCAGCTTCATTGACCGCCATGGAAACAGGCCCAAGTTTTCAACTATCAGGTGCGCTGGTGTGTTTCACCCCAATGGGTTGTGGCTGGGATCGGACTCTGGTTTTACGTCCGGCACCTACGGCACATGTTACAACAGGCATACGCTCACCCTTTAACGCACATTTCCTGAAATTAGTGGTCATTTTCAAGAAATTAACAGTTTTAGTGTTCGTAAAGAAATGTCGAGAGGCATAATCTGGGGGTGTGATCCCAGGACTGGGAACCAGCAGCGACTGGCTACTGATCCTGCTGCTGATTTCCTCTGGGATGCTGAGCATTTAATCGTCCTGTGCCTCAGTTTCCCTTTCTGTAAAATGGGAATTGATACTTGCTGTCCTTACGGGGGCAGTTGTGAGGATTATTAACTAACGCCTGTAAAACTCTTTAAAGATGAAACCTACCCAGTACTACTCCCACTGCCTATGCTCACTTCCCAGAGCCTAGATGCCCAACATAATACCCCATTGATTAGGAGCCTTCCAGAACACAGAGACAGGACACTGGGTCAGGGAGCTGACCGTTGAGATGATGATGTTACATACAAGTGAAGGTAACTGCAAACAGAAGCGCTGGGGCAGGAACAGGACAGGGCTACTGCAGAGGACTATGGTCAGGCGATAGCTCAGTCTTTCTACATCTCTTAATAGCTCAGTTTTCTTTAAAAATATGCCACAGGGCCTCCAGCAACGGGTCTTGCCAGACCAGCTTACTCCCTATAAGAGGCGCTGTAGCGGGGCGTGTGGAGGCGGGGATTTGTATTCTACCGAGAAGACTAAGGGAAGGGGCAGTTCTCTGCCTCCTACAGTATTCCGCTGTCTCTGTGTCCTAGATTTCCCTCCCCCCTTGTCTCTCTTTAACTGCAGCACCATCAATGACATCTCTGTCCTGAAGCTGAAAGTGGACAAGTGTTCTCGCCAAGATACCGTCTTCATGAAGAAGGTAGGCAGCTGGCCGGCTTCTGCGCCAGGTCACTCTCCCACAAAATGCATGTGATGCGGCCCGGTTCCCCGTGTCGCGGAGCAGCGTGGCTGCGAAGAGAGGAAAGGTCTCGGTCCACCCGGGTCTGGGAGCACCCAGTGATCGTGTGAGATACGCTGACCGGATTCTAATAGCTGATCTCCACTCACTGCCCTGCGAGTGTTCTTTTGCATCCCCAGACCGTCCATGGTTTTCTGTTGCGAGGGGATCTCCCCGCAGAATCCTTTGCGCTGTTTCACAAAATGCTGTAGTACCTAACAACGTGTGCACTATTGAGCGGTATAGTGTCAGAGGCAGCATTTACCTTGGATAATTTCACAGCTACAAGTAATCTTACAATGATCACCGATGCAATGTCCTGCCCTGCGTATTCCCCATTGCTCTAGAGTAAATGAACCCACTTCTACCCACCCATTCAATCATTGCAACTTCCACAGAATCCCAAGAGAATCTGAAAACTGTTATCTAGTAAGCTACACATGTGCCTTCTGTTCAGTGATGCTCTGGTCGCCTCATTTGTATAACAGGGTTTCTACCCTGTTTATACGCACAAGATTTCCTTTGCAACTAGAAAAGCGAGTTCAAGTTGATGATGAAATCTTAGGACTGGAGAAACTCTCTGGATTCCCCAGACATGATGCTGAGGTTGTGATCCTGAGGCTGAAACCCACGGTTTCTGGCAGTAGGAGAATAAGCTTCCAAACCCCTGCTAATCTGCCCTGGGGGTGGGGGAACAGATAGAAAGGACTCGCTGCAGTTTCATAGCATCCGTCTCTTAATGTAAATCTGCACAGGCAGCTGGCTGCCTAGTGGAGCCAGGATTTGGTGGCCTGGTTTTGTACGGACCGTTGGGGAAATCCATGGGTTTGTAGACCCGACCTGATGGGGGGGCCCCTCAGGAGCGACCAGAACACAACCAATAAGGAACCTAGTTTGAAACATTGGATAGGAAGCTAGAGGAAAGCCGGACGGCAAAGGGCATGCAGCCTCGCGCCCCGCCTTAGGACAGTGCTTGCATCCTTTCAGTGGGCCTCATGTGCTTTCCGGACTGGGGATGGTTTTTGGAATCGGGAGCCGGGCCCTGAGATGTGCCGACTTGAGGGGTCTCGGCTCCTTACAGAAGGTGCTCAGCCTCTCACAATACGAGACTCCAAAAGGCAGAACTGCTCCCCCTTGAACATCGGTGGGCCAGATTCTGCCCGTGGGAGCTGTAGATGCAACCGAAGGCAGAACGCAGCCAGGCAGCGGCTCCCCTAGAGCAGAGTTGCCGGAGGGCTAATGTCTCTAGTACTTAGCGAAGGCTGGCTAGAAGCACCTGCCTGCGTGACTTGTGCCGTGCTGGGCTGGCTCCCGTTACGCCTCTCTGACAAGAACCCGTATTTCCCCTGGGCCCAGTTTATGTGGTGCCGTGTTCTCTTCTCTCCGGCAGCATTCCCAGCAGCTCTACAGACACATCTACCTGACGAGCAAAGAGGAGAGCAATGTGCAGCCTCACTACGAGGCTCTCTACAGCATGCTGGCGCTCATTAGCATCGAGCTGGCCAACGAGGAGGTGGTGGTGGACCTGATCCGCCTGGTGCTGGCCGTGCAGGTAGGATCGTGTGAGCAGTGCAGGCGCCTGGGGGCGGGGCCCACCGTGCAGAGGGCTCCTCTCCCCTCGGTGCAAAGAGGGGATCGACTCAGCTAGGCATGGAGCAGACAGCCCAAAGTGGTGTAAATTCCATATTGGCAAGTGGGTGAAAACAAATTTACCAGGGCTGGATTCTGGGCTCTGTTAGGTTGCTTGACTTAATGGAGTTTTACACTGGCACAGTGGAGATCAGGATGCGGCCCCATGTCTATAATGCCTCCCTTTCCCAGATGGGTGCTGTGATGTTGAGTTAGGGAGGGCCCACGGCGTTGCTCCAGATTTCTGTCTGTGCAAATGAGATCCAAGTTTCGCTCAGTGCGTCGAGGCTGGTACAATTCACATTGTGAGGGGCTGCAGGAGGGAAGTGTGATATTCCTGGGGGAATTCTGCACCGCTGCACGTGAGTGGAAATATCCCCTCCTCCGCAGATTCTCTTTGCTTCCCCACAGAAAAATGTTGTGTGTGTGGAAACAAAGAGAAGCTGCACCAGTGCGCACTAGGTGTGGGTGCGTCTGTTCAGGCAGCCGGGGGAGAGATAAGTCAAGGCGAGGGGAAGTGGGGGGTCTGGGCATGCCCCAGCTGCCCAGGGACATTAGGCCTGGCTGGGTGTGGGGAGGAACGGGGAGGAGGAGGACGACAGAGTCCGAGGTCCCGTTCCCCTGCACGGAGCAGCTGGGTCTGGGTCAGATCAACCCCCGGGAACCTCCCCCAGCTGCAGGAAGCTCTGCACTGTGGGGGGAGGGAAGAGGAGGCTCGGCGGGGGTCTAGGTGTAGGGGTGAGGCTCAGCAGAGGGGGTTGGGTGCGGAGGGGTGTGTCTAGATGCACGGGGGTTGGGTGGACAGGGGGAGTAGCTTCCCATACAGTGACCCCCTCCCCCCACTTCCTGGCCCCATTGCTCTTCACACAGGGAAGGAGTCACTGTGCAGGGAGCTGCTCCCCCTATATGCCTAACCCTCATGCATCTGGACACTGCACCCCCCACCCCCCCCGGCACCCAATCCCCCCGTCAAGCCTCACACCCCCCTGCACCCAGAACCCTCCCACCGAGTCCCACTGCGTGACACCCCCTACATCAGGAGCCTCCCCGCACCCAGAACCCCTCCACGCCACTGACCCCTCCCGACACCCAAACAGTCACCTCCCTAAGTCTCACACCCTGCATTGGGAGCCCCCCACCCAGACCCCTCCCCCGTGGAGCCCCAGCCAGCTGTACCCTGACTCCCCCCCCACCAAACCCACTCCCCCAGCACCCCAATTCCCCTCCCCTCCCCACTGAGCCCTAACTACCTTCACTTGGACTCGCCTGCAGAGTCCCATTCCCCCGACCCTGAACCCCACAATGAGCCCCTGTGCATCCAGATCCTCCCTGTACACCCCCCCACCCCTGCCGAGCTGCCCGCATCCAGGTTGTGCCACACGGAACCCACCCGGTACTCTTGAGGGAATTCTGTACCAAAACTTACAATTTTTAGAATTCTGCAAAATTCTGCATGTTTTACTTGTCAAAATAACACAGTAACAATGTAACCACACCATTTTCAATTATTTGCTGACCAGTATTTTAAAATAAATTACCAAAATAATTGAAAATGGTGTGATTGTATTGTGTTGTTTTGACAAATATGCAGAATTTGAAAACCTAGTGTGCAGAATTTTTAATTTTTTGGCGCAGGATTCCTTCAGGAGTAATGTGGGAATGGGAATTACAGCCGCACTTTCATTCTGTCCCCTTGGTTTGCAAGTTCCACCATCTTCGTCTTGACCACAGTCAAGTTTCAAAATCTGAATGAATATTTGAGAACCGTTTCTCTTCCACGTTCGCCCAGTCGGTACCAAACCCTCTTCTCTTTTAGCCTTTCGCTGCGATTAACATTATAATAGTCTTTTTATTTCTCTGCATCAGGTACCCAGAAGCCTCTGGGTACCTTAAGAAAATGGAATAAATAGCAATACAAAAACGAACCAGTAAATGCAACGTAGCCAGTAAACCCAGATGGGAAAACAACAAAACACGAACATGACAGCAGCCCTGCCCTGCCACTCACCTGTCGCACACACAATGGCAGTGAGCAAAGCCACCTGCCAGTAAGATGGAAACATAGTGCCGTACGTTCGGCAAATGCAGACGAACTTAGCTACTACCTTTCTGCGACAGATTGGTTTCAATGGAACATCTACTTAATAGTAGACCGAGAAGATGCATGAAGGAGGGTGTTGTTCTGAGGTGAAGTGGTTGAAGGGACATCCAGCTTCTGAGCCTAAATCGGTGTGGCACGTAGACATCTCGGCATTTGCCCACACGGGGCTAGCACTGAGGTGGAGAAGCAGCTATATGTTCATATCCCATCCATGTTGTAGGCTGCTGGCCTGTCTGCCCAGCCCAGGAAGGAACCAGCGTCACCCCTGAGTCTATTCCAGGCCCTGAGCTTTATTTCTTCCCTGTAAATTCAACACGTTAGTCATCTCTTCCCAGCTAACCCAGGGTCTTCTGTAGGGGCCTCTCTATTGCCTTCAGGTTTCCACCATCCGACTTTCCTGCCACAGGGACCAATCTTGCTCCGGTCGCTCTCCATCCCAACTGAGCCACTTGCTGGCTTGTAGGCTCCCCTGACGGCTGGCAGGGAGGCAGCTGATCCGTCACAGACATAGGCGCCCGCTCTGTGGGTGCTCTGGGGCTGGAGCACCCCAGGAAAAAAGACAGTGGGTGCTCAGCACCCACCAGACACAGCTGATCAAGCAGTTTGGCGGCTGGGAGAGGGACTTGGAGAAGGGCAGTGAGCAGCTGGTGGGGACCTCAGGGAGGGCACGGTGCGGGGCAGGAAGAGGCGGAGCGAGGGTGAGGCCTTAGGGGAGGGGGCAGAGTGGGGGCAGGAAGAGGCGGAGCAAAGAGGAGGCCTTGGGGTGGGGGTGGAGGTCTGGGGGGGCACCCCTTGGGTAAAATAAAAATCCGTGCCTATGGTCACAGGCGAGGCTGGGCCCAACTCCCCTTAAAGCGCCAGCTGCCCTGGGACACCTTTTTTTGGTCCCAACCTCTGCCAGTTAGTTTGCTGTCTCCCCATCCGCCTGTCCTTGCTTGGCTAACGAACTAACCCGCTCCCCGGTCTGGCCCCTGCTGCCGGGTCTCTCCCTGTCCGTGGGCTTCGCAGGAGATCGCCCAGATCAACGAGGATAACCTGCCTGTGTACAACCGCTGCGCCCTCTATGCCCTCGGCGCCGCCTACTTGAATCTGATCAGCCAGCTCACCACGGTGCCCGCCTTCTGCCAGCACATCCACGAGGTCAGTGCGCCTTGCACCCCCCCCCCCCCAGCTCCTCAGGGTGCAGCTCCAGCGTTGGCTCTTAACTGTACGCTGTGGGAGTGGAGGGGACCCGGCTCTCAGTGGGAGACCTGGGCTTCGAGTGGCACAGTTACCTGGCCAGATCTGTGGCCGGTGGAACTCCCCGAAGGCCTGTAGTGTTACACCAGACACTGACCGGGCCCTAGGCCACCAGGTCAAATCCAGCCCAGGTTGGAAGCTGCTGAAAATCCATCCTGTTGGCTGGGCTATGTGCAATGAGCTTGGAGGGTCTCAGTCAACTGTGACCAGATCGGGGTCTCCATCAGGAAATCCCTCCCCTCCCCCCTGCCCCCCCCCCCGAAGGTAGCACTTACTGGCCCCCCCGCTGATTGTCTCAGCAGGGAAGCCGAAGACTGAATTCCCCTCCCACTCCGAGAGGGGGTGGCTCCAGGGCAGGGTGGAGGCAGGCCCGGGGCTGAGGTAGGGGGTGTGTGTGTGGTGGTGGTGGGGGTGCTTGTGTGGCCTCTGCCCTTGCAGCGCCTGTTCTGTGGGTAGCTAGAGGATTGTTGTCTCCAGGGCTGTGCGTCGGGCCCCTGTCCCCAGCACTAAATTGGCCTTAACGAAGAAGCCTGAACAGCTGCAGCTAAGTTGGTTGACAAGCCGCTGACAGGTTCTCTTCCCTCCCCTCCCCTTCCCTCCCCACTAGGTCCTCGAGACAAGGCAGAAGGAGGCGCCATATCTACTCCCAGAAGACGTGTTTGTGGAGACGCCCAGGTAAGCACCTCTGCCATGGAAGGCACTTGTCACCCTTGATTTGAGCTGCGAGCAGCGGCAGAAATCCTGCTGCCCCTGTCAGAACCGTCGCCTGCAGCCAGGCGCCAACAAACTGTGGCCCTTTATAATTCTCTATTAGCAGCCCTTGTGTGGGTTCGAATTGCCAGATGAGTTGAAGGAGGAATCCTGGAGAAGTAGCTGCCAGGGAAACCTCCCAGCCGAGTCATTTCCTTTCCCTTGGGTCCTTCACTGAGTCGAGAACGTGCATCAGCTCAGCCTCGCCCCCCAGGTGGTGGCATCACCTCCTCCAGGCGGAAATGCCGCGGGGCCTGGTTCTGATCTTGCTCAGACCAGTGTGACTCTGCTGTCGCCAGTGTGAATCAGAGGCGGATCAGGCTCAGTCTTCTGTGCCCATCTGGACCGATCTGGCTGTCTTGGAGGGACGTGGAGCAGTCCTGGTCCCCTGTGCTCACCTGGAAACCCTACAGCCTCTGAACAGCAAGGGCCCAGGTAACCCAAACTGCAGCATGCCAGTATCGTCACCTGTTTTCCTCCCTGTTCAATCACACAGGCTGACGAAGAGCTTGGATCACTTAGTGCCTGAGGTCTTCTTCCGACAGAGCAAGATCAGCGAGGTGCTGGGAGGCAGCGGCTATAATTCAGACCGGCTCAGCACCCCTTACATCCCCCAGCTGACAGGTATGGTACAGAGCGTCCCTGTGCGCTGCGGCCTTTTTCCGTTGCTGTGTCCTGCCGTGCAAGCAGCATGGCTCCGTGGTTAGCTTCCGAGATTCAAGTCCTTCCTTTGCCATAGACTCCCTGTGTGACCTTGGTCAACTCACTTAGTCTCAGAGCGCCACCTGGACAATGGGGATAACTGCACTGGCCTGCCTCACAGGGGGCCGTGAACATGAATGTATTGTGAGCAGCTCCGATGCTACGGCAGCGGGGGCCATATAACTACAGGAGAGAGAGAAGTGGAACCGTAGGGTCAGAAAGGACTGCAAGGGTCCCCTCATTTACCCCCTTCTGGGACACAGGATTTGTTGGGTCTAAACCATCCCCGTCAGATGGCTCCAGCCTCCTTCTGAAAACCTTCCACAACCTCTGCATCCTTCCCTCTTCTGACCCAGACAGCCCCCTTCCGAAATGCCTCCGGGTGTCTCCCCTCTCTGCCTTCCTGACGGGTTGGCTCCCCCTGTTTTCCAGATGAAGATCGGTTGTCCAAGAGGAAGAGCATTGGTGAGACCATTTCTCTTCAGGTCGAAGTGGAATCGAGGAACAGTCCCGAGAAAGAGGAGGTACTGGGTGCTGCCGGTTTGCCGCCTGCTCAGGCCAGCCTGAGAACGGTCCTTGTCGTTGCACCATGTCACCAGCAGGAGCGGTGCTTTTTGAGGCTTGCCTAGACAGCTTCTCTGCTGGTGCCCAGTGTCCTGAGCCGGCTGGATCGGCAGGGGGGGTGCTTGCTTGGGACAGCCATTTTCCTATCCAGTCTAGCGATGGCAGAGCCCTATTAGATCATGGAGTGTGAACCCAGAGGGAGATGATTTCCGGCCTGGGACGCTTTTCCTGAGGATGTTTCCCTTAGCCCCCAAAAAAGGAGGACTTGTGGCACCTTAGCGACTAACAAATTTATTAGAGCATAAACTTTCGTGAGCTACAGCTCACTTCATCGGATGTAGCTCACGAAAGCTCATGCTCTAATAAATTTGTTAGTTGCTAAGGTGCCACAAGTCCTCCTTTTCTTTTTACGGATACAGACTAACAAGGCTGCTACTCTGAAACCTCCCTTAGCCCATTACTTCTAGCCCCGTCCAGAACATTTCCCCTCCCCCCCTCAGTGCTTACACCTTTTAAACTTTTGCACAGTGTTTCCATCTCTCCCACTGTGGGTGCTGTGCAGACTGTGGGTGCTTCCGCCGCCCCCCCGGAGCGTTTTCCCCCTTCTTTCCACCGGGTCGAGATCTTGGCGAAGACGCACTCCCGTACGCCCCTCCTGGCCCCCTCCCTAATTGCCTGATGTCTGAGATTAGCTGTTCACCAGCAGCGGACTTGGCTCCATGTTGCACTCGCAGTTAGAGAGCTACTCAGACTAAAACCCCCCGGAAGCTCCATGATCTTCAGGGAATTTCAGATTTGGGCTTAATACAGATCCTCGCTGTGCTTAATACAGATCCTCGCAGCTACATTAAAGGCACAGGATCTGTGGGAACGAAATACCTATAAAAGACAAGCCTGAGCCTTCCCTTTGGTGTTAAACATTTTCCATCTCCTGACCTGTGTTCTCTCCCCATAAGCTCCTGTTTTAACTGGATAATGCAACATACTTAAGCACCGTATAATTTTTCATTAGTATGCACAGCCGAGCACTCGGTGTCTGCGTCTGGGCGCTGCAGGCCGTGAACAATGGGGTAATAATTCACTCCTCATGTGTTCAGCAGGGCGAGGTGAATAGGCCTTGTGCCCACCAGTGTCCTCCGTATGATTTATAGAGCCTGACTCCCCTGCTGGCGGCCAGGGCTGGGTAATCAAGGCTTGTGTCCCATCCTTGGGGGGAGGAGGAGCTCCCACGTGGTGATTCTGTCCTGCATTTATCTTCCGAGAGCGAGTTTGATTGCTTTGCTCTCTGAAAGCCACTGTTTTGGGCAGCTGCTTCTTGTTTATCCTTTTCCATAGACTCTGGGCTTCCTACCTCTTGGCACTAGGGTCACCACCCGTCCCAAAATGGGCAGGACAGCCCCGAAATGTACATTTCATGTCCCGGATTCCCTGTGGTGCCCCTGTGCCTGTCAAGGCTCAGGGGTGATGCCAGCCTCTTCCCATTGTTGGGGGGCTTAGGTGGGCCTTAGCCCCCGCTTGCCACAGGGCCGTGCCCCTCCTTTCTCACCTTTCCCCCCCGCGGCCCCCAAGGCTCCATCCCTGGCCAGGCTGTAAGCTGGAGCCCAGCCATGGTAAGAGCCACCCAGAGAGCCCAGGCCACCATGGGGAGTCCCGCACCCATCACCTGCCCTAGGTGGTGCGTCCCAGGGAGCGGGGATGTGGTCCAGGGGCTGCTCTCAGGCACTCCAGCCCCCTGACCAGGGCAGATGGAGGGTCTGGGGCTCCCCACAGTGGCCCGGGTTCCCTGGGCGGCAGCTCTTACCATGGCCTGACTCTGGGGCGGGGCCTTGGAGGGGAAGAGGAGCAGGGGGTGGGGCCACAGAAGGGGCGGGGCTCCTGCATGTGTCCCGCTTTTGCCTTTTGAAAAGGTGGTTGTCGTAGTCGGCACCTTCATAGATCCATAGAGTTTGAGGCCAGAAGGAACCATTGGACCATGTAGGCTGAGCTCCTGTACAGTGCAGGCCATTCAGTTTCACCCAGGTACCCCTGTCTAGAGCCCTGAAAGTTATCGCCTCCTAGTGGTCAGCCACACTACTGGAGGAATCAATCCTCCGAGTGGGCTGGCCCCTAGAACCACATGGTCTGTTACTGAAATGAAATAGCCCCATCCCCTTTCTTTCTTCTGCTCTCAAAGACAAGCTGCCCTGGAGATATAATCTTTCTTTTGTTGCCCTACCCCTAGAGAGCCCCCGCTGAAGAGATCACGTACGAAACCCTGAAGAAAGCAATTGGTAAGTAACTGAGCGATCTTTCCGAGTGCCACAGAGTTTAAGGCCGGACCGGGACCGTTAGATCATCTTGTCTGACCCTCTCCATGCCACAGGCTGTACATTATCACCCAGCTGCTGCTATGTTAAGCCCAAGTTAGTCTTCACACAGGGGAAAGATCGAGCTGTGTTGGTCACATTGTGTCTGTTCGGGGGTGTAAAACATCCCCTCTTTCTGCTGTGCTGCTCCACGAATGTGACTGGAAGTGTCAGGGTGCAAATTCTGCCCCAGGCCCACCATACTGCCTGGCCAGCGAGTCTTTAACTCTCACACAGAGAGACCTCCCTTTAGGGCTGGAGAGATGGCCAGCTAATGGTCTGAGCACAGGACTGGGAGCCAGGAACTGCTCAGTTCTAGTCCTGGGCCTGCCACTGACTCTTTCTGACCTTGGGCATGTCGCTTAAGCCAAAGTTTTCAAACGTGTCCTTTGATTTTGGGGTGCGTCGGTGTCTGGGTGCCCAGAATAAGACGTGGGGCCTGATTTTTCCAAAGGTGCTGAGCACCCACAAATCCAAATACAGTAGCTGTGCCGTGTGGAGTTCAGCCTCTCTCCCACCTCATGCAGGGAGATGAGGGGTGGTGGGAAGGCACCACTCTCTGGGGGTTCTGTGCACACCAGGGCTCATAGCAGAGCATCCATTCCTCTGGGGCTGGGCAGGATCTGTGCATGGCCCCAGGACCCATGAACAGAACGATTGAGACTCTAGCGCTGTGTGCCTGGTGCTGCGCAGAGCTTTTTCACCATTGCTTTGTCGCCCCCCCTACCCCCGGGTGCTTTAGTAGACAGCGTCGCCGTGGAGGAGCAGGAGCGAGAGAGGAGGCGGCTGGTGGTGGAGAAGTTCCAGAAAGCTCCCTTTGAAGAGATTGCGGCTCACTGCGGTGCCCGGGTGAGTCTCTGCTTTTGGCCTCTCACCCACCGGCTCTGCATTGCTGTGGAGATGATGGGCCTGTCCCAGTGGGTCACAAAACCAAAGCATAGCACACCGCAAAGTGTGGATCATGTCCCCGCTAATGGCTGATTTGCTAGGCGATAACACCCTACTACTGCTACCTGCCAGCTAAGCTATGCCTTGAGCTCAAGTGGTGGAGACCGATGTTGTAGTACGTTCTGAGTTCAGATACTGTTGGCAACGCATGGGACAGGTTGTTGTGAAAGCACAGGAAGCCATCAGCTCCCTGAAGCTGAGACACCTCTGGAATTAGGTGGTCTTCGGGAGTGACTGATATTTAGACCTTTCTGCTGTAAATACCCCAAAGTCCCTTACGCATCAGAGAGAAGGATCTCATCTGCCAGTGTTGAAATGCAGCCAGCTCGGGGGTGGAACAGAGCAGCTCTCAAGCAGCATACAGCACTGTTGCACTGCCCTTTGGGACAGGAAGTGGAGAATCCCATATCCAATTAAAACCACAGTGGGAATGCAGAACAGAATTATCCAAGTCTAAATTTGGCCAGGGCACCTTGCTCCTGTGAAACATGTCAGGGAAACACTAACAGCCCCAATTAGTCTGGACTCCAGATCACAATCTCACATGAAAGCTGGGATCTCAAAGCACCACTTCACGCCATGCTGCAGTGTTGATCAGTACAGACGCAGGATGGTACCTGCATCACCAGCACCCCTTCCTGCTTTATGGAGATGTCCTGTGGAGGTGTACTGAGGACTCTGGGTGAAGGAGTGTGTCCCATAGTCAGCTGCACTGGTGCGCTGCAGCACCGGGCACCCTGCTGTGCCTTGCACAAGGACGCAGACCGGCAGCGGTGTGTCCGGGCTCTGCAGTTGTAACAAGCTCTGCCGTGGCGCAAAACCTCAGATTAATGGAATTCTTGTTGTTTGTTGCAGGCCTCGCTGCTGCAGAGCAAGCTGAACCAGATCTTTGAGATCACTATCCGGTGAGCGTCAGACTCTTTGGGGAGAGGACAGTCAGAGGAAGAGGGCTTTCAGGAGCCCGCTTTGCAAGGGCAGGGAGAGGCTTGTAAACTACAATGCTGGGTGGCCCGTGCACGAGGATGGATTGAGACATGCAGGGGGCAGCCACAATCTTACAACTGGAGACATACTTGGCTCTATCAGAACATGGGAGGAAACAGGCCCCCCTGCCCCTAAAAAGCTTCAGGCAAGCCGAGTACACAGGACAACACTGGGAAGGTGCAGAGATACCACCAGTGAGTGCAGAAAGGCTTGGCACAAAGGAGGAGAAGGAAGGTCAGCCTCTCCATTAGATCAGGCCCCACCGACATTCCCTTTGCCTCCAATCTGCTTTGTGTGGTTCTCTCCCATGTTCCCAACTCCCCAAAGCTGTCAGTGTCTCTGGTGGGCTTTGGACCCCAGCAGGCCCCCCTTGTCCTCTCCAGTTTGGCTCTAATGTGGAGTCACTAGGTTGGATTTGTTCCTTCACATCAGTTGAGTGGTGATAAGTCTTCACCTTCGGGTAACACAGTGACAGGCTCCTGAGTTGGGAGGGGGAAAGCTTTTGCAATCTTCACAGCGAGCAAGAGTTGGGCAGAACCATGGCCAGGCTGGGTCCTGTTTTTCCGGTTTGATGAAATGTGGGAGTCCACCTGTAACTCTCCTCTGTATCTCTGACATTCCAGACCACCCCCGAGCCCATCCGGTACCATCACAGCAGCTTATGGCCAGCCCCAGAACCACTCCATCCCGGTGTATGAGATGAAGTTCCCAGATCTCTGCGTGTACTGAGAGTCGAAGCGCATGCCGAGAGAAGGCCAAGGCCTTATGCAACTGGAGCCAAGGGGGAAACGCGCCTTCTGCATGAATGAAAATGAGTCTCTTGAACTCAATAACCCTAAAGGAAAACCCCTCTTGAGTGGACTCTTTGGCAGTCTTCCCTCTTCCAGAGCTACATGGCCCGAGACCACCCCACAATCCTTCAGCCATTTACACAAATCGAATGTACTTTTTTGCCACCCTATTTCTTCTCAGCTAGTTCAGGGTTTGACAATGCATGAGACTCAAGGGCCTTCAGGAAACAGTTTGAGTTGTGACTCCAGCAGTGAGAAGTCAGGGAGCGCACGGGGGTAGCTGAGTTTTGCTTTAGCTTCCCTTTTTAGAAGCAGGTTAGAATTTTTTGGGGGGGGGGTGTTAGATCTTACCCCGGAAAGAGTTTGGCATGTTGATGTCCCACTACATAAAGCAGACCTATGTCAGTGACAGGTGTCACTCACGTTTATCTGCCTTTGGTGAGTTTAGGAGAGTTCTTTCTTAGCAAGGAGCTGCTGTCCAAACTTGAGGTCTTCTGTATTTTAAAGACAGACTAAGTGTACTTGAACATAGGACCCAAACTTGTTGCGAAAGGTGAATCCGAGTTGCCTTAAGACAGTCCAAAGCAGTCAAAGAGGCAGATTGACCCAGGACGTAAAATTAGTCATCACAGTTGGATGCATATTTTAAAAAAAAAAAGGATTATTTTTGTGCTGCAGGGTCCTATACATCAGATGTATATTTGCCTTTCCAGTAATGCTGGTTTAAGAAGACAAAGGGGTTGATTGACAGACCGGTACAATCAAGGCAAACACCCTTAAACTTTTCCTGCATGTTCTCAACTGAAAGGGAAATGACTCCTGTAATGAACCAGCTTGTGTGTGTGTCTCCCACTCTGTGGAGTGAGTGCCTAGAATCCCAACGGCTCAGCCCTATACTGCTAACAGCTAAAAGAGGTTCTCTGTTAGAGCCAAGTGGCAGGGGGTCGTGGGCTTCTGGAGGAGGAGGACCTGCTCTGTGAGCCAATCGAAGTTGCCAGTGGTACGCAGCAGATGGGGAGACCCTTTAAGTCCTAGGTGGTTATAGATTTGTTGCATACCTGACTTTTAAAATCCATGTTTCAGTGGGGATTGTCTTGCGGAAGACCCGGACCCGGATCTTACAGGCTGTGGGTGAGGGCTGTACTGATGTGCAGGCGGGACTAAGGGTGGGACAGCCTTGGAGAACCCAGAAAGAAGCAGCCGCAGGAGTGAAATGGGAATGGAGGGGAAGGCGCATTAACCCTTTGAACTCTGGCATTTCCCAGATGCCAGCCCAAATGGGGCGTTAGACTGTGTGCTGCGTGCAGACGGTTCAGGGAGTGCATGGAGGCACCTCCTCTAGTTAAGATAATGATTACCCCCCATTTTCACATGAGCCCAGTGTTTCTTTGGGACTGAAATTTCCCACGTTTGGGCTCTGTCTCACTCTCGCTTTCAGCAAAATCCCTCTGGCAAAGGGACCTAAAATAAAATGAAAAAATTCTGTTTTTTGAACCGTTCCAAACGGTTAAAACAACAACACAAGGCGACAGCAAAAACAGCTGAAGTGTGAAAGTGGTGACTTCGTGCAGGCAGAGGAGGGTCTGTCATCTGCCAGCTTCAAAACAGGAGTTCAAAGGAGTTTCCCATCCTACATCTGCCCCTGGATTCTCCCTTCAATCGTTGTGGCTTGATAATCCCATTTTCTTGTTCCCAAATATGTTTTCCTTTCCCCTAAAAACATACACCTCATTTGCCATCTGAATTTGTCTAGCTTCAGCTGTCAGCCTTTGGACCGTATTAGACCATTCTTTACTAGATTGAAGGGCTGATTTTTTAAATATTTGCTCCTCATGTAGGTACTGATAGATTGTGATCAAGTCAGGCCTTAATCTTCTCACTGTTAAGCTAAATAGATTGAGCTCCCTGTGCCTATCATTATAAGGCAGGTTTTCCAAGCCTTTACTCATTCTCCTGGCTCTTCTCTGAACCCTCTCCAGTTTATCAACATCCTTCTTGAACGGTGGGCACCAGCACTGGACACAGGATTCCAGCAGCGGTCGCACCGGTGCCAAATACAGCGGTAAAATAACCTCTCTACTCCTGCTAGAGATTGCCTTGTTTATGCATCCAAGGATTGCATTCATCCTTTTGGCCACAGCGTCACACGGGAAGCCAAATATACATGACCCTAAAATCTTTGTCAGAGTCACCGATTCCTGAAGAGAGTCCCCCATCCTGTAAGCATGGCCTGCATGCTTTGTTCTTAGATGTATATATCTCCTGAGGCCTTGTCTACACAAACTTGCACCAGTTTTATGAAACCATTTTAGTTTCTTCGGTGCAAGCACCTGTGTAAGGACACTCTTAGTTCGGTTTGATTGGGCTAATTCAGTGCAGCTTACATTTGTTCTTGATTGATAAATAAGCCTGGTTTAAACCAGCATAAGAGGGTCCATGCGGCCTTTCGCAGCGATGTAACGAAATCGGCATAAAATGGTGTAAAATGCACACCAAGGACCTGATTCTCCCCTGCCTTGCAACTTGTGTGCTCATTGACACCTGTGCAAAGTGAGAGCTAAGTGCGTGAAAATGCTGCCAGATCCAAAGGGCAGAGTTTTACAGGCACTTTGCACAGATGTGAGTGATGTCACAAGGTGCTAGACGGGACAGTCAGACCTGCTTTGCTGCTCAACACAGAGCAAACAAACTGACCAGGCAGAGATCAACCATTCCAGTCTCTGATCTGTTGTAACCGTAGGAGAGAAAAGATTTTCCGACAGAAATGTGATTTATTATGTGGGTGAAAATTCCTCCCTTCTGAACTGCTCAGTGTTCAGTTTCTTGGGATGTGATAATTCCTCTAGTTCTCAGTTGTCCGGGTAGAAAAGACCTGAGTTCGCAATGTAACAAGAAAACAGTAAGGAACAGAAAACCCTTTTCAAAGAATACACCATTCAGGCCGCCTTCTTTCGTCATAAAGAAACAAAAGACCACACAGCCACACTTCCCACCCTTTGCATCGAAGGGAGTATCTTGTTTTGGTAAGGTTTTGTTTTTAACATACGTCCCTAATAGGGTTTATTTTAATTATTTGTATTCGTTAACCATATTTTTTGCTACATGTTATGTTAGAGAAGGCAGGTCAATGAAACACACCTTGCTATTGAAGCAGAAAGCAGTGGGGTTGGAATGGTCCTTGGTTCCTGGGGGAGTTCATAGCACCATCTCGGACCACCCCTGGAGCTGGTTCTATCCAGGCACGAATCAACTTTACTCTGAGTTTAGCCAAGTAAACTCTGAAGAATGGTGCAATTCTAGCAGCCCAGGCCGGTATTCAGGACCATTTCCCTTCAGCAGCAGAAAGCCTGAGCACAAGTCAGAAGGTGGAGAAGAGAATTGATTCTGGCGCCTTATGGCCCCAGATCTTGTCCTGCCCGCCTCTGGGCCCGACCGCGCCTGCTGATAGAAGGCAGTGGAGTTGGGGAGGGGGGTTCTGCTGTGCAGCTCCCAGAGAGTCTGCCTCAGAGGCCAAGCCTGGGCTCTCTGCAGCACAAGGAGCTCATCTGCCCAGGCATGTTGGGTGCCTCTTGCAGGGTGGGAACCTAGCCAGTGGATCGGGATGGGCACACGGCTCCTGCTAGTGTAGGTGGAGCAGTGGCTGGAGAAACTCCTCCCTGCCCTGGTGGGGGTCCCACACAAAGTCCACTTACTCCGGCTTTGCGCCAGGGAGGAGGGAGTGGAAACGTGAGGGCAAATAGCACGGCCAGGGCTCAGCTACCGGGACGATGGGCCTAACCAAGGCAAGGTCGGTCAGAGTTAGAAAGCAGCAGGCGGGTTTGTCACCGGAACTTCCCGTAGGAGGCCAAATCTAGCCCTCCCTGGCATGGATAGTCAAGGCCCACCAGGCCTGGGGAGCTGCAGGACAACGCTGGGTGGGGAGGTTTTAACGGAAGGATGTGGGATCGGACAGCTGCTGCCTCCAGACATTAGCCCATGTTAACCGCAGACACATGCTATGGCTAGCGGCTCAGATCACCTGCCCTCTGAGGAGAAGGGTGAAGCGCCCCTGTGGCACCAGCCCCTCCGAGCGGTTTAACCTGATGTGTCGAGCCGCTCCAAGGCATAGACACAGTGTAGACAAAACCCTGCATTGAACCTGCCTTCTTCCCTCAGGGCACAGGGTCTGCACCTTGGCGCCAGAGCCCGAGGCGATGTCTGGCTATGGAGGGGCCCACGTGCCAGCTGCCATCTCAGAGCGGCAGTTTCTCCTCCAACCCTCCAATAATCTCCCCAGGTGCCCCTTGGCCCCCAAGATTCTCCTTCCCAGGCTCTTCGCCCCCATAACCCTCCAGGCTCTATCTCCAAATCCCCCTTCCAGACTCAGACTTGCAGCCTGACTTCTCCGCTGCCCCCAACCCTCCAGTATCCTGGTCACCACTGGCTTCCCTGGCCCCAAAGCCTTCCTTGCTGTGGAAGGGGAGAGTCCATGGGAATCTTGTCACCCCTGGTGTTTGGGGCACCCTGAGGTGGCTATGTCTGAAGCATCCCATGTGGAGCTGGATGAACCTGAGCAGCAAGTGGTTTCAGTTTTTTGAGGGGTGGGGGGAATGTGCAGGTCTTGGGGGAGAAAATGGAGATTTGTTTATTGTCCATGCAAGTGGGCAAGATTTCTGGGGTCCCTGGCAAAGTGCCACGGTGCAGCCCTTGCCATCCCAAATTTTGGACACACCTTGCGGTAAAGGGGGAAGTTAAGGCCCAAGTGAGAACTCCGAGGGAAGCTCTAATAGAGAGGAAAGGATTGTGTGTGTGCGCACATGCACCACTGTTATCTATTGGAAAGAATCAGAATGGCTTGGCTGTGTGTCATAAGCCCTATACTGCAAACAGCTAATGGGGATTCTCCTTTAGCCCAAGGGGCTGGGATCTGTGCTTGTGGAGCAGGCAGTTCTGAGTTTTTTTTTCCCGTGAAGCTCTGAGTGCAGGCAGTGTGTGGCCGGTCGCAGCTGCGAAGTCCTGAACCGAGCATGGGTTTGTTACAACAGTTACAGTAGCTCATTCTTCCGAAAAATTCCTTTTTCATTCGTGGCACTTCCCTGGCTGGGAGGGAGCCAGTGCTGACCCCTTGGGTCCCCCCTTCAACTTGCCTCAAGGGGGAGAGCAGGAGTGGGAAGCAATGAGATGCAGAAGCAGCATTTTGCTTTTTCCTTCACAGAGAACCCCTTCCCGAGACATTCTATAAGACGTGCCGGCCTCTCCTCTAACGGCTGCATGTTGGGTGAAGCCTCACGCTCCATTAGTAACTGTCTGGGACTGACCGCTCAGGAGCGGAGCTGAAAGTTTGAGAAAACGGGGAGGAGCACTGTGACCCGACACAGGTGTACAGCATTTAGCTGGGGGGACAAGGGTTATTTTATTAGTGACGCTCCCTGTCCCGAAGTGGGAGTAATCGATGTAAATAACTTGCGTACGCTTAGAAAAACCAGCTGTTAAACAGTAAGTTCCTCTGAACGACTGCCTCCCTATAATCCCTGGACATACATACAAAGTGCTCGGTCTAGAGGACAGGAAAGGGTGGGAGGCATGACCACATTGTTGAAGCGGGTTGCGCTCCATGGGAATAACTAATAGGAGCCCATCCCATTAGAGCTGGTCTGTGGCGGGGTGGTGACCCGCTCCGGAGGCTGGAACGCTAATTCCCCGGGTGACCAGCAGGAGGCGCCGCAGGGGTGAGTCCCTGCACCGCTACAGGGTTGAAGGCTTTTCTTGGGAAAATGGGGTTTTGTCAAACAACATTTTTCAAGAAAAAGTTGTTTGAAAAAAATTCTTTTTGTTTAAATTCAAAACAAAAAATGTTGGAAAAAACGCCAAAGTTTTTCCCTTCAAAGCTGCGAGAAAACGCCCCCTTTCTGGATTCCCCCCCCCCCCCGTCTTCCCACTACAAAATTAAGGGGGGAAGTTAAAAAGTGAGAGAAAATAACACCTTTGCCCCTCAAAACTTGTATTTTCTTTCCACTTTTGGATATCCTGTCTCTTGAGGTGAGAGAAAATAACATAAAATACTTTGACTTTTTCGCCCAGGAACGGGAGGAAAAAGGGGGAGTGTTTTTGTTTCCCCCCCCCCCCGACCAAAATGAACCAAAACTCTTCAAACTGAAATGTCACAAACCCCAAAATGTGTGCAAAAATGTAGAACAAAAATAAAATATTTTAGTTATTTTTAATTGCGGCAGTAAAAGACTGGGTCCAGTTAGCTCTATATGGTAAATAGGAAGCTAGATTTGGCCGTTACGACAGGGCTGCTACTTCCCCACCATAATACCAGGCACTCCGGTTACCGTTGTTCACGGAGCCCAACTTTTTCTTCCGAGGGAAGGGTGAGTGTGTCTGGGACGCGGTCTCCTCACCTGGGCCATGTTGCCCTGAGACTAGGGCAGCAGTCGCGTGGATTCCATTTCTGGTCTCCGCTTCTCCCCCCTCCTCGGCCATATGGGGTCACGAGCCTTTTAGCAGCAGCAAGCAGCTTCCCAGTTGTCTTCTAACATGCCTCGAATCCAGTGGAAGGAGAGGGTGTGGGGAAGGTCCGGAGCAGGGCTTAGTTTGTAAAGAAAGAGGAGTGAGGCTCAAGCAATTTTTTTACTTTCATAACTGATGCAGCAGGCCCAGAGGTGCCGGGGCTAGGAACTGCCAGGCCCAGAGGTGCCGGGGCTAGGAACTGCCAGGCCCAGAGGTGCCAGGACTCAGCCCTGGCACAAATGAAGCACTGGTATGGAGACACAGTAGGGCATTGCCTACATGGCTTCTGCTTCACTGGTGACCAGCACAAATATGAACGAGGCTCAGTTGGCTGTTTGATTTTCTAGCAGTCTCGTCTAAACTTGCTCAGAGTAGGGTTAGACAACACAGGGTTAAAATGTCAATGGTTGGTGCATACTAGTGCAATCACTGACTGTACAAGTACAACCATGGGAGATGTGAATAAAAATGCCGGTGTAATACAGCCTAGGACGTGTGGTCTACCCAGGCCAACCAAATCAAGAGTGGCCTTCTTGGTTCACTGCAAAAATCTTGCGTGTGGGGGTTACTTGCAATTGGTCAGGTTAAGTCACATGGTACTGATTCTATTTCCTGATTGTGTAAGTGCACAAGCAAGCACTTGCCAGTGCTGGTATTTGTACGTGCAAATGAAAATGTCATTCCTGTGACGGTTCATGCTAGTAAGGTTTGGTCGCTCAAATGCTCATAGAAAAATTCACCCAGCTCTACCAACAGTGGGACAAATCCTGAAGTCCTTACTTGGGTTTGTACTTGGCCAACTTCCCCTTAAAGGCAATGGAAGTTTTGCCTCAATAAGGACATCATGGTTTTGCCCATTGTTTGGCAAGAGTAACAGAAGCATCCTGCAGAACGGGTTGGATGGTGGGACAGAAAATCAGAGACGGGACATTGGAGTAGCTGGACAATTGGCCATAGGGTGACCAGACAGCAAATGTGACAAATCAGGACAAGGGTTGGGGGGTAATAGGTGCCTATATAAGACAAAGCCTCAAACTGAGGGACTGTCCCTATAAAATTGGTACAGCTGGTCACCCTAATTGGCCATTATGTCAATTCCTGCATTGGCTTAACTGGCACAGAGTGATTCTTGAACTTCCTCTAAAACCATGTGGGGCGGTGTCCTAGCTGAGACTGATTGGAACCCCCTTTACTGTAGGCTTGCCCCAAATTGCAAACAAGCATGTCTTGTTTCAGCCTGTGGTGAGACGCTTCCACCCACTCCTCCTTGGAAATAGTTTCCGATATTTGCACTAAGAGTTGAATTTTGACACGTGATCTCCATCTGTAAATGTCTCCAGCCGTGCATTGTGATTGTACGTACCGTTTAGACCTTGGGAGTATAGATAGTGTATATATAATTAGATATAAATATATTTATATAAGCCTGTTATAGGTGCATGGTCAAGTTTCCATTTCTGTGTTTCAGGAACATTAGATCATTTTCTGTGTGAGTAACCGAGGGCAGGAATAAGTTGTTTTGAGTTGCTAAAGGTCACATTTTGGTAAGGGGCTTTGTTGATATTTTCAAGTAAGTCATCTCTGCCCTTTTCAAATAAATGTTAATGTTGCTCTGTTATGGTGCTTTGAGATTTTTCGTAATGGGAATGCGTCGCTGAGAGCCAAGAATGTTTACTACCCCTCGACACCGATTTCATGGAGACAACAGGAAACACAGCAACGGTTTGTTTGTTTTTCCTTCTGTGGGTGTATGTAGAGGGCATGTTAAAGCTGGAGATGAGCATAAACTGGGTTTCTTGGCCCTGATTCTCCTCCCTTACTCTAGATTTACACAGTGCACCTCCAACCAAGTCAATAGGCCAGATCCTTAGCTGGTGTAAATTGACATTGCTCCTTTGACTTCAGTCAAGCTATGCTGCCTTACCCGGGTTGAAGTTCTAGTCTAGGAGAGCAAAGAATTGGAAAAACAGGTCCCTTTATATCCCTCTCTCATATCCTTAAGAGCACAAGGACGGCAACACTGGGTCAGACCAATGGTCCATCTAGCCCAGTGTCCTGTCTTTCGACAGTGGCAAGTGCCAGGTGCTTCAGAAGGAACGAACAGAACAGGGCAATCGTTGAGTGATCCACTCTGTCATCCAGTCCCAGCTTTTGGCAGTTGGAGGTTTAGAGACATCAGTGGCATGGGGTTGCATCCCTGACCATCTTAGCTAATAGCTATTGATGGACCTATCCTCCATGAACTCATCTAGTTCTTTTTTGAACCCTGTTATACTTCTGGCCTTCACAACATCCCCTGTTAATGAGTTCCACAGGTTGACTGTACGTTATGTGAGGAAGTGCTTCCTTTTGTTTGTGTTAAACCTGCTGCCTGTTAATTTCATCAGGTGAGCCCTGGTTCTTGTGTTATGTGAAGGAGTACATAACACTTCCTTATCCACTTTCTCCACACCCGTCATGATTTTATAGACCTCTAAGATAGACAACTGTTTTGAGAGCCACGATCCATCTAGGCTAACTATGGCCTCACTTAGGTTTACCATCCTTTTAGATATGCTGAACTGAGATGCCTGGAAAAGTCCTATGTCACCTTTTAGACAGAGAATCTTTCTGTAGTATGGAAGGTTTCAGAGTAGCTGCCGTGTTAGTCTTTATCCACAAAAAGAACAGGAGTACTTGTGGTACCTTAGAGACTAACAAATTTGAGCATAAGGTTTCGTGGGCTGTAGCCCACGAAAGCTTATGCTCAAATAAATTTGTTAGTCTCTAAGGTACCACAAGTACTCCTGTTCTTTTTTTCTAGTAGGGAAGAGAATTCTAGCCCTGATATGAAACTCTATAGGATGGGCCAGAAAACAGAGAAATGATCATCTCTATTAAATTGTGTAGATTCTTAACTGGCAAGTAACTCTCTAGATGGGAATGAACAGCTTGCTAACACTTCATGGAAGGAAATTGGAAAGCCCATCTCCTGGTGTGACAGCGGTCGTCTCGGCCAAGTCCAGGGCTTTACCCAGGGACCTCCAGATCTAACTGGATGAGTCTCTAGAGCTCGAGCACAGGACCCAGGCTCTGTAACTGCCGGGTATGCTCTGCGAATTGGGCAGAGAGGGAGGCGGAGCACACACAGACACATCTGCACAGGAAGAAACTTCAGATCTGATATTTATTTATTTCTGAGCTTTATAAAAAGGCCTCCTGTTGATCTCGGGGCACGTGTATGTTCTTCCTTAGAGCTCACTGAAAATACACCCAGCTCCAGCTCTTCCGGAGGTTGGCAGAAATACAGAGAGACCATCCCTCTCCCTCCGGCCCTTCTCAGGTACAGAGATTGAGTCTTGCACTGAGCCCAGGCAATCCGCATGCTTGAGCTGTCAAACCAATATGGACACACATGGCCGCTTCCAAGGTTTCCCCTCTTCACACACTGAGAATGCTCTGCCGGCAGCCTCCTCCCATTAAATCTAGGACCTCGGGTGACTTCAACTACTGCGGCAGATCGGGAGTTTGGTAGCTCTGCTCACTAAAAAAAAAAATCCTGCCCCCAGATCCTTTCCCTGCCTGCTCAGCTGCATTTGAGCAGTGGAATGGTGGTGGTGGAGCCCCACTTAGCCACACAAGCGCTGTTAGAAACCACAGTGCAGAGCCTGAGGCTACTCCAGCCCGTTGGCAGCGTTGCCATGGTGCTGGTGCAGCACTTCAGTGTAGACACGGAGCTCTGGTCTACACTACGGAGTCGGGTTGATGCAGGGCAGCCTACGTCGACCTAACTCTGGAAGCGACTACACTTAAATGTCGCTCCCACCGACGTCACTGCCCCGCTATGCCGACTTCGTAACTCCACCCCCAGGAGAGTCATGGGCGATGTGGTTAGGTCGACACAGGGTCAGTGTCGATGCTGCAGGGCTTTCGTCGACTGTTACTGGCTTTCCCACGAGGCCCCACACCGCCAGTACAATCGGCACACGCGCGCCTGGTGAGCACGTGCTCCGCTGACGCAAGGAGTGAAGTGTAGACACGCACAAGCGACGTCATTACAGAGGCGGCTGTATGCTAGGTTGACTTAATTTTGTAGTGTAACCATGGCCTTCTTACGGCGCTGGGAGTGGTTCTCCCATCGCTGTATGTAAACCCCCCTCTCCCAGAGGCGATAGCTAGGTTGATGGAAGGCTTCTTCCGTTTTCCTAGCACTGTCTATGCCAGGGGTTAGGTCAGCTTAGCCAGGTCTCTCAGGGATGTGGATTTTTCACACCCCTGAGCACCGTAATGTAGCTTTTCAGTGTCGACCAGGCCTGACAGTCATGCACAGCCATCCTCTGGAGGCTGCTCCCACCTTCACAAGTGGCTGGGGAAGGAGACCGCAATACGGCCAGGGCCTCTTACAGCCCCGCTAGAATGCATCCAAGAGCCGTACCTAATGCATGCGCTGCTGCGGGAGTGACTGAAGGACACTAGCTCAGGTACTTGAACAGCACCTGTCGCTTTGGTACCTAAAAGAGAGAACCAGGAAAGCCGGGCAACAACTAGGCCCAGCAAGAGCCAACCCCTTCTCCCAGTGCTTCGGGGTGAGAGCAGGGGAAGGAGATTCACTCCGAATTACCGTTCAGCACGGACCACGTCCTATCTCTGCCCCGCACCTGCCTCAGCTGGGACTTTTCTTTGAGCTGCCGGAGTCCCCCTCCTAAACTCCAGCCTCTTCTCTGCCTTTGGTTGCGAACCAGCAAACGCTGGCAAACAATTTTTTTTGAAATCCTACTGTGAGAGAGCAGAGGGAGCTGCCTGCAGGCAGCTTGAAGCCTGAAGCAGGCTTGCTAAAGGACCTGGCCAGAAACACCTGCTCTGGGGAGGGCCCCTCAAGCGCCTGGTTCCTTATAAGATTGCTGAAGCAGTTCTTGAGGGAAGCTGTTACCCTGAGCAGGGCAGCTGCTAGGCAAACCCCAGAATGGGACACCTCCAAAGGAAGGATCCCTTTTGCTCACCCAAGCACGGGGGTAAGAGCCAGCCCCTGGGCCACTGAGTTTGGCCTCTGAGTTCCTTTTGTTTGAATGAACTCAGCCCAGTTAAGGGGGTGAATGGGTGAGCGAGCGCGTGGAGGCTGGGAACAGGGGCCTGGAAGAGGGGGGATAAAGAGCAAGGCAGTGTGGAGGCACCCCATTCACAAGGGGGCGCATGACGGCAGCCAGCTTGTTTGCGCATAACAAATAGACCCCCTTCTCCAGGGGAATCTGGACAACTGTGGGACTCCCTAATTCCCAAACACTCAGCGTCCTGACACACACCGGGGTGGAGACATCCCAAGATGAACGGTCCTCGGGCCAGGCTTTCCCTTGCCTCACTGAAGCTGAGACCAACTCTCCCTCTCACCAAGCAATGAGCCAGCCTTAGCTGACCTTCCCTTGTCCCAGAGAAGCAGGCCCTGCCGCCCTGCTCCAGCTGGCTTTAGTCCTTGGCCCTCTGTCTTCAACTTGGCTTCTGTTTAGGCCTAGATGGGATATAGCTTCCCCTAGGCGGCAGCAACCCCCACCCCCCATCTCCTCCTCCCCATTATGTCCTCTTTCTCTCTGATTATTAGAGCTAGAAGCCTGCCCGCTTCTGGCAGGCGGAGCTGGGGTTGCCATCTTTCTAAGGGCTGGTAACTGCACCCTTGAGGCCCCACCCCTGCTCCGCCTCTTCCCTCGAGGCCCCACCCCCTGCTCCGCCTCTTCCCTCGAGGCCCCACCCCCTGCTCCGCCTCTCTCCCCCCCCCCCATGATCAAAGGAACCCGGGACCCCAGGGCTTGTCAAACGGCACCCAGACGCACAAGCTGAAACCCGGACTGCCGGGGTGAAGACCCTCGGCTGAGCTACCTTTGTCGTGAAGTGCGCACGCACCGTGATCGACTCCTTACAGAGAAGCAAATGGGTAACTTGTAGTAGTAGGAACTGAGCCTGATTTCAGGGAGTCTGGAGCATTAGGCCTGACGAGGGTGAGCGTCCCACTGGATTGTGACCAAACTGGCCCCTTTCCTTCCCTTAGATCAGCAGTTCTCAAACTGCGGGTCGGGACCCCAAAGTGGGTCGCGACTCATGACCCCATTTTAATGGGGTCGCCAGGGCTGGCCTAGACTTGCTGAGACCTGGGGCCAGAGCCGAAGCCTGAGCCCCACTGCCAGGGCTGAAGCCGAAGACTGAGGGCTTCAGCCCTGGGCAGCGAGGCTCAGGTTATGGGCCCCCTGCCTGGGTCTGAATCCCTTGGGCTTCAGCTTTGGCCTCCTTGTGCAGGGTCGTGGAGCTCAGGCCTTGGCTTCTTCCCTCCCGCTCCGGGCAGCGGGGCTCGGGCAGGCTCAGGCTTCAGTCCCCCTCTCCTGGGTTGTGTAGTAATTTTTGTTGTCAGAAGGGGGTCTCAGTGCATTGAAGCTTGAGTACCTCTGGATTAGATAGATCCTGAGTCAGTTATCGACGGTATTCCTATAGGGCCCGATCCAAAGTCCAGATTTCCATTGATTTCAAAGGCCTCTCTCTGCTCTGGCGAGGGCCCTCATCTGAAGAGCTGAACCTACTGCCCTAAGGATGGCAGGCTATCACTCATCAACTCACAGAAACATAGGGCTGGAAGGGACCTTGAGAAGCCATCAAGTC